GAAGAGATTGTCGGGCCAGGATTTTGAGATAGGCCTTAGAAAATTTTTTATTCGATTTTGAAAATCTTAGACCTCGTATTTTGACGATTTTTTCAGGTCCCCCCCCCGGCCCCCTTAACTTAAAGTTGTGTCACGTTATCAGATTCGATTAGGAATAGGGTATATAATCTATATATAGTCTGCAACTGTTGATTCTTCAGAATCACAGTAGATTGCACAATATTTGAATATTAGCTCTGGAGTAATATGTTGTAGACATATCACGCCTGCAGAGCAATATTCAATATCAGTGAGTTGTGACCATTGACCATCTGACACGTGTATCGCAACATGTGTACCTGCAATTCCATTACTTCACAACCAGATCCACTGCCACGTGTATCGCACCACGTGTACCTGCAATTCCATTACTTCACAACCAGATCCACTGCCACGGGTATCGCACCACGTGTACTGCAATTCCATTACTTCACAACCAGATCCACTGCCACGGGTATCGCACCACGTGTACTGCAATTCCATTACTTCACAACCAGATCCACTGCCACGGGTATCGCACCACGTGTACTGCAATTCCATTACTTCACAACCAGATCCACTGCCACGGGTATCGCACCACGTGTACTGCAATTCCATTACTTCACAACCAGATCCACTGCCACGGGTATCGCACCACGTGTACTGCAATTCCATTACTTCACAACCAGATCCACTGTCACGGGTGACGTCAGAGAGATTCAAATTCATGAGAGGTTCGTATGTTACTGCTTTATATTAAAGTCACTATTGGTAACTCGGTAATCTGCCGATGCACATCTGGGGCACACCTGGGGCACAAACTCGGGCACACCTGGGGCACACCTCGGCCACACCTGGGGCACAAAGCACACCTCGGGCACACCTCGGGCAGAACCACCTGGGGCACACCTCGGGCACACCTCGGGCACATCTCGGGCACATCTCGGGCAAAATTCGGGCATGGTAATTGGGAAACCTTGGGAAAAGAACCTGGGCACATCTCGGGCACTATTGTGACGGTACATTAGAACTAGACAGAAACAAAGTGTGAAGGGCCTGAACGGAACCCCTCGGTTTCAGTTCCTTGTTTAACATTGCCGTACAGCAAGGACATCCACCGGGTTCTCCAAGGATGGACACATAGCTCACTCCACACTATGCTCTGTCAAATATTGCTTATATACCAAGGATCTACAGGAAATATTTCCTTGTAAGTTTAGAGGGCGATCTATGAACAGACAACTACCTCATTCCCAACTATAGGAACTAGAATTCCTATAATATCCCAACGAGCTACACCAAGCATAGTTTCAGATGAGAACAGCTCAGTCATAAACTGTAGCGCTGATTGGGTTTAAATTCAGCATAGACTATAATCTTTATTTAGAGTACATAGCTTTAAACTGGAGAACCAGGCTGGTTCACCAGAGCACTGGTGACCAGTGCTCTGGTGCTCAGTAAGATGGATGTCAAGTTCCGTCTGACATCCTGACACCTGTTCTATTTTACTGTTTCCAGTTCGTCCAACCAGCTTAAACGTTATTTGTTTAAAATTAATTTTAACGTGTCTCTGTTTTTTCTCGTTCTCCGGAACTAAAACTTGGTAACTTGGTAAGGTTTATCCTCGTAGCAGGAAGGGTCATCAGATGTCTGACCACCGTGATGGCGTGTAGTCTACCAAGGAATTCGACCAGCTGCACGTATAACCGGAAACCGGAGGGTTATCCGGTATCAAAGCAAGAAACCTCGACAAACTGACTTTGAAGCTGGCAAACGTTTTCTCGGCTTTCACTTCACTCGGCACCTTATTCCACAGTTTGGATCCTCTTACTGCGAACGAGCTATCGTACAGTGTCTGGTTTCTCATCGAACTCGACTTTGATAGAACCTTTGAACCTTTACATTAAATCATACTAATGACTAGTTCCCCTAATCAGTTTTTTCATTTGTTGTGAGGATATATTATGTCAAGACTCAATGTTTCTTCTAGACATTAGTTTCATTAGACATTAGTTTCCATTAGTTTCAAATTCAAGGGCGACACATATTCTTACTTATCTTATATATTTTAGAGTGCATTATGTTTATTGTTTAATGTTTATTCTTCGGAATTAGTATTATATTTAATAGTGTTACATTTATTGAGGACATTACAGAAGGAATTGATTTAATTTGGTTTGAGGAGTCCTCACTCACGTCCGAAAATGGCGTTTCTCTTGTCGCTGATATGAAACATGTATTTATCCATCTTCATAACGGCGTTTATATTCGTCTGAGACTGCGAAGATATTACTATTATTCGCATGTAATGTTCTGAACAAATGTTCAATATTGTTACATGTTTAACACTGGGCACCAGACCCCAGACCTTGAACCCCAGATCCTGAACTCCAGACCCCCAGATCCTGAACTCCAGATCCTGAACCCCAGACCCCCAGATCCTGAACCCCAGACCCCCAGATCCTGAACTCCAGATCTGAGATCCTGAACTCCAGACCCCCAGATCCTGAACTCCAGATCCTGAACCCCAGACCCCCAGATCCTGAACCCCTGACCAAGGATCCTGAACCCCAGACCTCCAGATCCTGAACTCCAGACCCCCAAATCCTGAACCTGAGACCACCAGATCCTGAACCCCAGACCCCCAGATCCTGAACTCCAGACCCCCAGATCCTGAACTCCAGACCCCCAGATCCTGAACTCCAGACCCCCAGATCCTGAACTCCAGACCCTGGACCCAAGACCCTGAACCGTATACCCTAAACCCCCAGATCCTGAACAAAACCAGATCGTTGACTCCGATAACTTTTCAGTTCTATGACTTACGTCTAGTCTAGACACTGTTCTTTGTCCTTTTTACGCACGAGCAGAGCACGTATTCACTGAAAGGTGGTGGAGGAGGCCTTAAAAATGAGGTGGATCCCCCTCCCCTCCCTTCCTCCAGACGGACACATATTACACAATTTAAAGAATGGTACAGATATCTAGTCTTTAGATTTAGTTTTCAATGATCGTTTACAGACTTTCATTAAGCTAATGACTCATATAATATGTTACATTTTATATATATCGAAATAATTGCTATCAAGGTTAATTTTTCAGAGGTTCGACTTTACGTTACCTACCTATACTTGATTATCCAGTCCTTATTAAGAAGGGCTAGGGATGGAGATTAATGAAAATGTCGTGTAGATATTCAAAACATACGTTTAATTTCATAATAAATATGCTTAATTTCCCCGTCAGATGTTATTACATTCTATTATACAGACTACAACTACCAGTTAATATATGGGTTTTTGTTTACTTACAAGATTGCTCTGACGTGTCTGACTTGTAATCACATGTCCCTGGTTCCAGCTGCTAGCTTCAAAGAACAAGCAGCTTGATGACTTGAAATCTGTGGTTGTAGCATCAGTTGAGGATACTGTGAAATCAGAGTTAAAGACATACAGCGCCGCGGTAAAGGATTCAAAACCTCAGCAGTAGGTCCTTTGTTGGCTTCGGATAGAAACATCTTGAAGAATGTCATATTAAGGATGTTGTGGCAGAAGGAGACCGAAGTCGGAATCTGATGTTATTTGTTCTTAAAGAAGAGAAAGGTGAACTGTTATGTGACAAGGTCGGTCAAGTGTTGTTGGAACTTGGTGAAAAGCCAAAAATAGAAGCTAGCAGAATTGATTTGAATAAACCCAAGGATAAGAAACAAGTGGCTGATAGACCTGTTAAGGTGACTTTGACGAGCTCCACAATCGTGTAGCAGATTTTGACTAGAGCAAGGCATCTCCGTAGCTCGGAACTTTTCGTTAAAGTCTTTATCAGTCCTGATAGGTCTCCAGAGGAACGTGCCGAACAGCAAAAGCTTGTTTTAGAACTCAAGAATAGATCGAACGACGAGCCAGATAAGAGTCACTTCATCAAAGGAGGCAAAGTGTGTACTGTGTAGTGTGGACAAAATTGTTGTTTGAAATGTGTTAAGACTGAGTTTTGTTTGGATTTAAGGATTCTTGGTTCGCTAAGATTTTAATTTTTTGATAAGCTTCTAAATCATATTCGTCTATCAACACAAGACTGTCAGTCTTCTAGAATTTTGTTTTGATTTGTGTATTAAGCTGGAGTATTCAATCTTACTTCCAGGTCCATAATTTCGTGCGGTGTATATTCTTAGAGTTATTTTGGTTTTATAAATTAGCAGATTTAGGTATATGATTAATGATTATTGTATATTATTGTATATTATTGTATGTATAAATTCTTGAGTAAACAGTAACCAGTAAACAAAGCTGGTTCCCAATAAAACCCCCACCCTAAGATTGAGATGAGTCTTCAGAGGAAGCTGCAGGTAGATTAAGCTGATAATTTTATATTTAGATTTCATATTTTGTTCCTTTATTGCATCTCTAGTTTTGCCTCATTGATCAATATGAGGCCGAATTTTCGTACCTACCTGTTATAGGCGCAACTCATTTCTTTTTCAATTCTACGGAATCAACCACTGGTGGAATCCCTCGCAATTATCAGTAATATCTCCCGTTCTCATTGATGTAAAAGGCTAAAATCGCCGTCTTGTCTGCGTTCTATTTATGTTCACTTTTAGGTCACGTGTATCTGTCCCGTGATAAGATCTGCTAATCCCCCTCAAGATCAGTATTCAGTACACATAAACGAATATGGGCTAATCAGTTGTTTTAAATTATCGCAGTAGTCATTTTTTCATTTCATTGCACAAATCAATACCACATGAAAATTGAAATCAACCTATAAGCTTCACAGCTTAGTGCTTATTTCAATACTAAGAATATTTCAATACTAAGAATATTTCTAATTGCTAATAACTTTTCGAGCTAGCGATTGGTGATTGTTGAGATTATCCATCGTTGGTTACCAATTTGTTTGATATATTAATAATTTGCTACAGACATATCTGTCACAATACCACTTAGCAGTTCGCTTTTAAGTTAAACTAACCAGCCCCCTTATTTAGCTGATGAGTACGCTGGAGTCTAATTCTAAGTTCTCTCTCGTATCATCAGGAGAACTGCAGGTCAGTAAGTGGGTCCCCATTGTCGGTCCTGTATTTACAAATAAAATAGGGGGGGGGGGGGTCAACCTCATTTTACCTCATTCGGGCAGCCAAAAAAGGCAAAATTGGGATGAGGTAAAATGAGGTAAAATGAGGTAGATTAATCTAGTTTTCTGAGCCTTTTTTAGAGACAAAAAAGGTTTATTCGAAGTCATTATACTATAATTCGAGGCTGTGCATGGTCTCCCATGATATTTAATGGTTTATTAGGGGTGATGCGGTCCCTGGGAAGGGGCATTCCCAGTTTAACTTGGGGTAAATAAAACTTCGCATTATAATTATTATTTATGAAAAGAAAATTGAACATTTCAATTTCCATGATCCATAAGGATATAATTGTTAATAGCACTTTCTAAGTTTTGTAAAGGAATTAGCAATAACATTAGTGTCACTTTGGCAGTTGCCAATTTATGGGGATATTTCTGCATTGCATGACATGGACCATTTAAATAATATCTTAATTTGATATTGCGATTATCGAGTCACTCTGAAACAAATTGTGTCTAACTAGACCAAATGTAAACAACAGTTGTGCATGGAACTGGATTGGATATCTACATGAATTTAGTCGAAATTGCATAGTGAAAGGTCATTTCATAATAAATTACTCAAATAAACTCATACTTCATACAATTCTAAGTTCTTATGTACATGTTCAATGTTCATGATTCGCTGTAGAATAAAGGGCGGTTCACAAAACCACTTTTCGTTCAAATAATTAGATAACACCTCTAATTAGTTGCTCTGTAGGGTAAGGAACAACCAAAAAATTTGTGTGTCTTTACGGTTTCGTATAATACTGACTTGGGCCACGCCCATATTTTTCACAAATTTTTAACAGGTAAAATTCTCTAAATCGTCAATTTAGTCACGAAGGAGTATGGAAGGAGTTCTAAATGTGTGCTTCTCTAATATAAACAGTAGGAAATGGTTAACTTTAGTCGAGGTTTCAGGTCTCTACAATGTCGGGAAGTTCCTGCAGGAATTTGCGCATTGCGCTGAAGCGCAAGATTCACTGCGCCAAAAGCGAAGGTCGTAGAGACATGCGACCTTGACTAAAGTTAACCATTTCATACCATTGCTATGAGAATATGCCACTTTCAGAGTCCTGAACACACTCCCATATCTCTTAATCGTCAATTATATGAATTTTACCTGTTAAAATATATCATCTTTAACCGATTTCAATTTAGTTTAACACTGTTAGTTTTTAAAAAGAACATAATACTTCACACCAAACTAACGCACAATATGAGAATATAAAAAAGGAAGGTTTTCTTTGGATTCCAAATTCAACTTTGATTATATCCTGGCACTGATTATCATTTCTCGATTGTTCTCCATTTTCCAATGCAGTCAGCAAGTTCCAATTTAGGTAGACTAGGTTTTCGAATCTTCATATTATGTTCAGAAGCAGGCCAGAAGGGGTTGTTATCAGAGTAATATCTTCTTGGAACAAGGGAATTAATGAGGTCTCCATTTATTTCTTCATAACTCGTCACTGACAGTCCGGACAGGATGAGCATTGACGAGATCCACTGATTACTTCATAGCTCGTCATTGATAGGATCAGTATTAAATGAGGTCGAATGATTACTTCATAGTTCGTCACTAACTGGATCAGCATAACATGACTAACAACTAACGAGGTCCAGTGATCTCTTGCTGATACGTCAAGACAAGATCAGTAAATAGCTATAAATATCGAAAAAAATTAGCTTAGAAATTACCGAGTACAAACTACAAATGCCTTCTTCACAACTAACTCTTTGGCCTCATCTTTTTAAATCACTCATTCCCTCTGAAACAAGATAATGCTTAGGACTAGGAGGAACTTAGTTAACTTCTTGTATGATTCGATGAGAGGAAAATTCCTTAGTAAGCTAACATTCTTTTGTAGGATGTTACCACTTATCATATCTGTTATCCAGCATAATCCCACAACGAGACCCTCTTATTCTTGAGTCTTGACAATGACAGCAGCAATGTACACTATTTTGATGCTCGGTCCAGGTCTCAAAGAAAACCTTCCTTTTTATATTCTCATATTGTGTGTTAGTTTGGTGTGAAGTATTATTTTCTTTTTTAAAACTAACAGTGTTAAACTAAACTGATATCAGTTAAAGATGATATATTTTAACAGGTAAAATTCATATAATTGACGATTAGGAGATATGGGAGTGTGTTCAGGACTCTGAAAGTGGCATACTCTTATAGCAATGGTATGAAATGGTTAACTTTAGTCAAGGTCTCATGTCTCTACGACCTTCGCTTTTGGCGCTGTGAATCTTGCGCTTCAAGCGCAATGCGCAAATTCCTGCAGGAACTTCCAGACATTGTAAAGACCTGAGACCTCGACTGAACCGCCTTATAATGCCAGATAACCCCCTCTATATCCCTGTCCCGCATCAGGGTTCGCAGTTCCTCTTTAGAGTTTGTCCCAATTTCCTTCAGTAACATAGACAAATAGCTTTGTCTTGGTCGGCCTTGCTGTGCTCTACCAGTACCATGAATACGTTCCCATAAGACTAAATCACTGGCAAGTAGCTCAGGATGTCTGATTTGAGTAAACTAACCTGATTACCGGCAAAATTATTTACGAACGAGAATCATGATCTATAAAATTTTTGCCGAAATTTACCTCATTCGGGCAGCCAAAAAAGGCAAAATTGGGATGAAGTAAAATGAGGTTGACCCCCCCCCCCCCCCCCCCCCCAAATAAATCTTATTCCTGTATAATTGACACCACTAACAGTCTTATTCCTCTATAAGTAACAACAATCTTATTTCTGTAGAAACGAAACTGTGACCGTTGTCTACGCACACGACCTATCGGTACACGATTAAAGTTGTGTTCTAATCCGTTCTAATTAGGTTTAACCAAATTGATGAAAACGTTTCTGACCACTCAATCAAAATTACAGTTATGTTTTCAGCTGAAGATCTGGAGGACAAAGCTAATATTTCAAATTTTGGTAACAGTGCCCAGCTGAAAATGTCACTTGATTTGATAATTTAACTTCTCAGGTCAGTCATGTGTCCCCTCACAAGCGTGTAATTGGTAAAGTATTCGGTAGTATCAACAGAAGATGGGAGAAACACACAGTAGTCCTTACGGACACCCAACTATATTCTCAGGAGGTTTGTTTCCGCATTTTCATCCTATATATAGTGTATATAAAACATTCGCAAATTAAGTGGTTCTCGTAGGTCCCAATTTCCATCGCTTTCAAATGTTTTGTCCCTGTATTATAATAGCTTATAGATATCAAAATGCCATATTTAGTCCCCAATCGCACAATTTGTCACCTTTAAATACAAACATTAAATTTTCTAGCCTCTAGGAATTCCTCTCGTCTGCGCAAAGTTTGAAATTGTTGGCCAGATAATTTCTTCTTATGGCTGTTGACAGTTTTCAGTTAAATGTGACCAGCTAACTATAACTTCACCTGAAACTGAAGAACACTCTTGGGCTTACATTTCTGTTATAACGCTGTTTAAAATTTGGGGGCTTCACTCTTCGGAATGTATTAAATTCCATTAAATTGTCCTATTATATTATATTGAAACGTTTATTCCTAACGCTGTTCCACTAAACGCAATCAGTCACCAATTAAGTGAACATTCATGCAGTCATTTTAATTCTGATATTTTAGTGAAATCTATCAAACACAACAAAAATCGTTTTATTTATCATATGAATTTATAAAACGTCAATCCAGTAAACAGTATCAACATAGTTGTCTCATCGAACCTGTCAAGTGTTAATCAGCACTGACAACCGCCCACATTTCAGAAGTATGGGATATTTTCGATGCCAATATTTCTAGACCTCATACAACATATCGACGTGGTTACTGTCTCTACATGGGAGCCAGCCATTAATAGTGCAGTTCAGCTCAGGTGATTAATTATCTTTCTATAGTATTCTATCATCGTCATTATAGGCATATATTTGTAACTTAAGCGAAGTCCAACTTCGGCACACCCTCTGTTGAAGAAATCAGAATTAGTGACCTGATAATTTTAACCGCTCAAACATAAATAAGGCACTCTAAGGGATCGTTCACATATTACGTAATCAATATTTTGGCAATTTTTACCCCCTCCGTAATCAACCGTAATCAAGACCGAACCTTTAACCCCCCCCCCCCCCCCCCCCCCCGTAATCAAGACCCAACCCCCCTCCTATATTACGTAATCAAGATTAGACACCCCCGCCGCGCCCCCCCCCCTATCACAATGGATTAATGAATGAAATAATCGCAAAGCACTTATTAAACGAAAATTGGTTTAAAAAACGAAAATTTTGATAACATAATTAACGAAAATTGTCCAATTGGTATTTCGAAAATCGGTGAAAAATAAAATTTTGATTACGTAATCAACGACCAAAACCCCCCCCCCCCCCCCCCCCGTAATCAACCGTAAGCATTTGAAACCCCCCCCCCCCGGGCTGATTACGTAATATGTGAACGACCCCTAAGACTAAAATCAAAGTACATGATTTGAAAGCGGTACATTTATTTACTATTTCTTATATTAAGCTGTTTTCGTTATTTAAATGCATTAACCCAGACGATGAACTGACCCAATCTTTCTCAGATTTACTGATGGAATAGTGTTATTACAAGCAAATGGTCCATATGAGCGAGATCAGTGGTTTCATTCTCTTCTGTGGAAATTCAGCGTCTTAAATCATAAGAAGTCTTTAAAAATGACGTCGTGTCCTGAAATTATAGCAAAGGAGTTAAAGGTAAAAATAAAATGCAGGAATAATATTTATTGTTCAGCAATTAAATTTTTAAATTACTTGGAAAGATTTCTAAACATGATCATATTTTTCCTGACTCCTCGATATTTTATTTAAGTATTCATTCTTCCCCTCAGTCGTTGGTCAAGATAGCGTTAAAAAGTCAGCTGCACGATCCCCAAGTTTGGACTGACTGCTTAGTTCTTATATCTAACCAGCTTAATGTAAGAAAACGGTTATCTTCATCATTTTTAACCACTACGCTTTGCATTTTTGCATATTTCGTCAATTTTAGTTACCAAAAGATATCAATTGACGTCAGTCACGTCATGCTTCAGTTGAAATCATCATGAGGTCTTTGTTTCAAGCTGGTGGTCAACTGCTTGCACTTTATTACTGCAGCACTGTTATATGTATTAATGTATTGCAACACATTCATTGAGAGAGACAATCTAGTGGGGAGTCACTAGCAGTAACGTACTGCGACTCCTGATAAAATGTGGTTACAAAATTATCACGGGAATATCCAGTTATTATAATAAAATATTTCATTGCAGCACACGAATTCGTTGCCCCCCAACGCCCTAGAAGAAATAATAGAGGCACTGGGGCCTGCCCTTATCCAACTTAACCCTCCCACTCCAGAATTATGTGACTTTTTTAGTAGGGTGAGTACTTTTCTTTCTATTATACATTGCTAAACTGGATAAAAATTTTTTAATGATAAAGAGAGACACTGCCTTACCCCATACAGTGTATGATTTCCCAGTAAAAGATCTAGAATTCCTTAATTTCAGTATTGCAGAGATGGCCCATGTGCAGCGACGGCTGTTGTGGTTTTTGCTCCCGGCGTTCACAGCATCCTCAAACACAATGTGGACTTTGGAAAATATACCTATATCAGAACCTTTGCTAGGGACTTCATCATAGCCCTGGCATCGCAAGACGCCTGCCCAGAGAGCCTGCCCTGTTTCGTTCACACGTGAGTTTGGGAACTGAAATTTAGTTTGGAAACTGAAATTTAGTTTGGGAACTGAAATTTAGTTTGGGAACTGAAATTTAGTTTGGGAACTGAAGTTTTTAAAGTTTTTTTAAATTCGTTCAGTAGTTGTATTGAGAGACGGAGATATTTCCATTGTAAATTATTAAATGTCATGATGTTCAAAATTTGACGTCAAATAGTAAAATAATGCTGTGGATATTAGTTTTAACGGTTCTATTTCCGTTAGTTGACGTCAAGGATAGAACTTAAAATGTGACGTAATATCAGACCACTTAAAGCCCGGATATGTACCGTATCGACTGAGCCAACAGCCTATAGAAAAATAGATTTTTCTTTGGTTCTATTTCTTGAGAAATGGTAGTCTATAAGAATATAAAATAAATATCGCAATTTCAGGATGCACTCCCCCGGTGCAAGGTGTCCCCACCCCAGAGTTCTGCCTAATCTTATGGCTGTGTTCCTTGCAGCAATATGGTCAGCTTTCGACACCAAATGTTCATATAGGTACCTACTTTCCGAGAAATAAACTTTATTTTGTTCCAGAAACTGAGAATTACTAGACCGTATCAGCTGACAACCTGCAGTACAAAATTTATTATATTTATTAGCCCTCATGTGGGCAGTCAACTTGTTTTATAATCCATTTTAATTTACTGATTGATATCTGACAATATCAAAGATGTGAGCTAAATCTAACACCTTATGTTACAATGAACACCTTATATTATTGCGTTAAAAGTATTTTCTTGGAAAGAAAGCTCGCTGCAATTTTTGGAAACTAATACCAATAAATTGCAGGCGTAACTCCAGCGTGAATTTGTTACTGGGCAGCAACAGAACAGAAATAACTAACAACAAACTACCAAAAGAAAAAGTTACCAGCTGTTTTATGAAGATGATAGAATTATGGTCAGTAGTTAAAACTGTAATAAACTGAGACATTATCGCTCTTTCTCTCCGGGCCGGTCATCTTGTAAAGCATGATTAAATACACAATTCCACATTATAGAAACAATATATTCCAATTTATTCTCACATCTCCCTGCCCACAGTGCTACGCATGAAGACTGGGTGAAAGAGATGGCGCCCCTCCTTCACCCCATACCATTCCCAGAAGAAGCTTTGAAGTTCCCACCTTTCGTAATGGGAATGGTTAGCGTTCTCAAGCGCTTCGCCGGCGACCAACGGCCTGAGGTCAGTGTCACTGCAATACAAAATTAGAGTTAAGATTCTGTTCTGTTTATATTATAAAACATTTAATATTTTGCTGGTAGTGGTATGTATCTCGTTAATCACGATATTAAACTGGTGTTTTGTTTAATGATGGTTACCACCAGGTGAGGGAATGCTTGTTCCCAATGAGAGAGGGTAAGGAGAGCTGGATACAACTCATCGCCCCCGATCACAACTGCTGTCCCGATGACGGCAAGACGTTCTGCGACATCGTGCGAACGTTGCTGGAACGTGCCCCAGTTCGACGGAAACTAGTCCGTCAGCTGGCACACTCGTGTCTAGATGCCTTCAGACTTATGGTTATACGGGGAGATGACTTCTTTGTCAGGGTAAGAATTCAAGTACTGCCTGTTAAATTAGTGTATATTGTGATCGGTTTTTAGAATGTTTCCAAATGGTTTCAAAATTTAAAACCTATTCGACAACTACCTCAAAAAGCCAATCTCTCGTGTTTTCAAAGAAATTCAAATTCCTGTGAAAAACAAGTATTGATGTTGTTTTGCTTTCCTTTGAATTACAACTTATCGTGTAACTATATATATTTAAATGCTGTCTTGCTTTATCGTATCTCTTATAACAGATTTACTACCCTCTTAACTGCAACTAACGGTTAATATATATTTAGATGCTGTCTGAGATGCTGGAGTCAGATGTGATTGAAGATAAAGAGCAGAAGGAGCAAGTGTTGTCCACACTGTGCAGCAATCCAGGTAAGAGGGTCACGAGCTAGTCACGTGCTAGTCACGCGCTAGACACAGCCGTTAACGCGTTATAAAGCGAACCATTTCTAGGAAACATTTTATTTATAGAAAGTTGTAATTTTCAAGATCATGTGCAATTTTAATTATTAAAACTAAATTCTGGTAGTCTCCAAGGGAGGATTTGCTGTAAATTTAGATTGCCCTGATATACAGGGTGTTTCAAAAATAATGTCCTGATTTTAACAAACAATATAATTTTTTATAAAGGAGCAAAATGCCCATTATCGGTTGCCATTAGTTTATAAAGCTTACAAATTTAATTTGTTAAGCTCATTTGTTCCAGCGATTCAACTTTGTTAATTATTTTGGCTCTGTTCCAAAAAGTCGAATTTTGAGAAAAATACCATGATACCCAATCCCCATCCAAGCTGTGACTTTCTCTCTAGTGATAGGCGACTCAACTGTTGCATGGGGGTTCTCATCTGCCCAAAACCTACAATTTTGGCGATTGACATGACCGCTCAGATGAAAATGAGCCTCATCTGAAAAAAATATCTGTTTCAAGAATTCTGAGTCAGATTCGATGCGATCAGCCATCATGCTGCCAAATTCGGTCCTTTGTTCTCTATTTTTTGGAGTTTGTGTCTGTTTGATTTGAATTTTTTAGGCAAACTTCTTCAGCTCTTTCCTCAAAATTCCCCAAACTGAAGTTGTCGATAACTTAAGCTCCCTACCAAGTGTTCTGGTTGACCTCCTTGGACTGTTCTCTAAATTTCTTTGCACCCTTTTGATATTCTTCTCAGAAAGAGCAGATTTCGGCCTACCCGTACGCGTGTTCTTTATCAGGGTACAATCAGTAAATTCAGTTTCTATCTTCTTTACAAGACGTCGTATTGTCCTATCATCAAGTTTGCTGTAGCAAACGCCTAGCACTTGTCACTCTGCCTCCACAAATCCAATAAGTCCTCACAATATCAAGTTTTGTTTTTTTTGTGAACCCCATTTTTCTCAAAATTCGACTTTTACACCCTGTATGACTTTTGATGGCAATCCAAATCTCGCGTACAAAATAAAACTAAATCTGAAGCTCCGTCTAGATTCTAGAACCTGGTAGTTTGACATTTAATTTTTATAAATCACTGCGTATATTCACCCCGTGCATTTATCAGATGGAGCGAGGCTGTATAGAGCCATGTGTGACAGACAAGCAGCACTTTGTAACCTGGCCCAACTGGGAGGACCCACCAAACTTACCATGCCGGCCCACAGCACTGTGAGTAACAGCTCTTGCTACTTTTAATACAGTTTAATACGGGTGGGCGACAGCCGACAATTAACCCCCCGACAATTGACCCCCCCCCCCCCCCCCCCCCCCCCCGACAATTGACCCCCGACCCTAACCATAACCCTAACTCTAACCCTAACCAATTTGTCGTACTAAGCCCTAGATTTCGCGACAATTGACCCCAGTGTAATTACATAGGGGGTCAATTGTCGGGGGGTCAATTGTCGCGGTACCTTTAATACTTTTAATACAGTTTAAATATTTTGATACAGGTTGGATAATTACAACACTGCTATACAACAAATAATTTAATTCCCTGAAGATAACTAGTAACGATGAAATATGTTTATAATTTCCCTTCTATTAGAAACATACCTTATTAAAGATCAAGAGAATTAGAAATATGATGCGCCTTATAAAAAATGTTCCCATAAAAAGTGCTGTGGTATGGGTTGAAATATTCTAAATAATTAGTATACCCACACTAATTCAAGTCACACAAACTAACGTTGACTCCTTGTATTTTAAATTAAAAGGCTCTAAGCTTGCATTTTAGGTTGAAGGTTATGAACGAGCATGATAATATTGGCAAAATCTAAATTAAAGAAGCATTTATCAAATGACATTTTCTTGTCGGCCTATATATATTAATATTAATATTGACAAATACCAGTAGTAAGAGCTATGTCTAGTTCGTATTAACTGTCAACATTTTGATCTCTAGTTCCAGTCAACTCTGTCAAATCATCTGGTTTAGCATGTTTGGTAATGTGTATATTGTCTAAGAGATGCTTAATATCGTCTTTAAAATCTGACAGCCCTACTACGCTCAACACAGAGTTATCAAAAGTTGTCAATATCATCCTGAGAGGAAACTACCATGATCCTTGGGTTGATGTTCCTCGCATCGAGAGGTCCTTTAACTATGCGTTAATTTGAACTATTGCATGAGACAAGCCTTAAGCAAGCACCCTGAAATAGGATTTACCATTAAGCCTTATCGGAGTAGGAGAGTCAAGGCGGAGAAGATATCAGACACTGGTTTTGCAGATGACATTGCTCTGATAGCAGATACTGTAAAGGAGGCAGAGATGCTGATGCTAGAGGTAGAAATAGTTGCTGCTACAGTGGAACTTAAAATGAATGAAGGGAAACCAAATTCATTACTCAGAACATCGAGAACCCTGATATCATCAAGTCCCTGGGTAACAACACAATAGAGCACGTGGAAGACTTTACCTATCTTGGTTCTAGAATCAGAGACAGTGAAAGTGATATCAGGGTTGGGAAAGGAAGAGCATGGGGACTGGGGAGCATGCCACACTCTCAAAAAACTTTGGAAATCTAACCTTAGAAATTCTATCAAGACCAGAGTGTTCACAGCACTAGTCGAGTCGGTGCTTCTATACGGTTCCGAGACTTGGACTATGACGAAAAGGCTAGAGAAGATGGTTGATGGTTGCTATACACGAGTGTTAAGAATGGCCCTTAACATCAATCAATATCGAGACCATGTCAGCAACCACAGCCTGTACGGTGATCTTCCCAAAGTCAGCTCCAAGATAACCCAAGGAAGGCTCAGACTTGCAGGTCATGCTCACCGACATCCGGAGCTGACACTGAACAAACTGATCCTCTGGAAGCCGAGTCATGGGCATACTAACAGGGGGCGACCTTACTTAACACTACTAGATAACCTAAAAGCAGATACTGGGCTGAAGTCAGTAGACTGATGCTAGACTGATGGAGGACAGAAAGCTGTGGAGAACTGTTGTCAATGGATCTCGGGAATACTACCCGCCTTAAGTCAAGTCAAGTTAATTTGAACACTCAGCTGTCAAAATGCTGCTAGAAATTTAATATAATAATCATGTACCGGAAACTGTACCGGAAACTATTCAATATCTGTTCATTGGACAGTATCCAACCTGAGTGGGCCTGAGCATATAAGTCAGTTATTCACACAGTGAATTATGATTTGAATTATCACAGATTATGAGATTTACCGCTAATTTCTTCAATTTCAGGATACAGATGTAGAGAAAGTTCTAAGTTCCGGACCGTTTGGTAACTTGGAGAAGTTATCTTTGGCGTTCACATGCGTTACCAGCGACTGCGCGCGACACCTCGTCAAACTACCCAACCTCCAACATCTCAATTTGTGGTGCACTCAATTCGGTAAGTTTTTTTGTAAATTGCATAACTTCTATTTTACTGATTATTTGTTGAAGTTAATATTTATTTAGAAATGCTTGTTACCATATTTTATTTCTCATTCAAACACCACCACTCGTGATATCTAATGAATGTGTATATCATATTGTATTTCTCTCCTTTAATTCTTCCGAACCAGCAGCACACCCACCACTGTAATACAACCCTCCCCCACCTACTCAACACCAGAATCCCTGTTTTATTTTAAGCGGCCCGGAATAGCCTTGAACAGTCTGGCAATCTGCCAAGTCTGTGTAGTACCGCCAGTCGCCACCTGGCACTCGTACATATCAACCATTATTCTCACTCTTACTATACTCCAATACATGACCTGTCAGTTATTTGATATTATACTTAGACTGCTCTATAAATACTATAATGGCACATTGTGACGAAAATTTGAAGACAATGGCTTGTCTGCAAAACCCAAGTAAAACATTACGAACTGTAAAGAGTAAGCATTGTTAGGCTGGGTTGGGACGTTTCCACCTTTTATTTCACCATGTCCCTCGCCAGGGTGCTGATGTTTCTACAGGTAGAGTTTAAACTTTAAGCCGGAGTTATGATCATAATTTTAAAGGTTAAGGTTACTACATTTAGCCCATTAATTGCTTTTGGGTTAACCTAGAGTTTGAGATAGCATAATAGAGGTCCTGGTTATGAGGATTAGTATATTTATAAGTAAATGAATTATACCTTAGGTAACTTACTGGAGGGTTATTAATAGCTATGATGTACGTAGTAGTAATTGACAGGAATATAGATCTCAGTCTAACCCATTACAGCCCAGGATAATGTGTTGCAACAGAGGAGCTCAATAATAAGCTCGATAAATTACCAATAAGATTAACGTTTAGATGTGGTTAAAAAACACCAACGGTTACCATAGTTACCATGGTTACCATGGTTACCACACCAATGGTTGTCGTCACATGCCGACCCTAACGAGGGTTGTTATTGGTCAATGACTAAACCTTGTCCTGCAGGTGATACTGGACTGTGTCTGTTAGCAGAACACTGTCACCGACTCAAGAGTCTGAACTTGTGTGAGACGCTGGTAACGGATGAAGGACTACTGGTTTGTGATTTAGACATTACACCTGCGTTTTTTTAATGTTAAGGATCTTGTCTATGGTCGCCGAGACGGCTCATTTGAAAATTCTTAATTTCAAAATAAAAAATATTTCTACTAGTGTACATATTATACCTTATTTTTGTAACTATTATATCTATTAACCATCTATCTAACAATTTATCACCAGGCTCTGACTGAGTTAAAGACGCTTACCTGCCTTAACCTAAACTCGACCAAACTGTCAGCTCAAGTATTCGAAGAGTTGGTTAACAAATTGCCCTCCCTAGCCAGCTATGATATCAGATACACTGAAGCTTGGTATGTTTTGTTTGTGATATTTTTTATTTTTTAAATATTGTGGAGTTATGGATGTCGTCAGTGCATAATTTGTTACATATGTTGTGGTTACTAAACATCAAGTTTTTAACTTACATTATCTTAAAAACCAGATTATTGTTGAAAACGCTGTTCAAAATCTCTCCTCAACTTTCAGTTCAGTATACTATCCCTTTACCAAGGGCAAGTGTATCCTGTGATCGCATGAACCCTGACCATCTTCCTAGAATCATGTCTGTCATTTAACGTTAAATGTGTGACCTGGTTGTAAGCCTGGTAACGGCCTGTGATTGTTGCATGTGTCACGTGATAGTAAGACAGTGACGCCGCGCACTTCCCCCTATTATTTTCACTACGAGAGTTTTAAAAGACTGAATCAGATTGTTAACGTATTTGTAGTGGAGTTTTTATTTGGTATTTCGAAGATTTTATTAAATTAAGTTTGTTTTTTTTTTCACATTATTTTTCCATTTTCTCCACGACTGGGTAAACAAAATTTCTTCAATAAATATTAAGCAAGACGTGAAATGTTTTAATTTGTAATGATTGACGATTGTGTTTGATGTCTTATATCTATGTAGTATAGAAAACCGGAATGTCATTTGTAGCTTTGTAAACCTTGATAAAAATTGTATCAAGTAAAGTGCGATCATGCTTGTGATGTACTGATGAATGTAATGATCCTACATGCCATTCTTTGGATTCATGTTCGTAATTCTAATTGTGCAGATATTTGTTCACGGTCTCAAACGTTTAACTGTGCGCGCCACGCGCTCAAAAAATCATTTACAATTATAAATCCTCGTTATCTTCCCGCTTGTTTTCAGTCAAAACAAGGACGGTACGTACATCAGAGAAGGGAAACCCGTACAAAACGGCGCTTCTAAAAGTCTTCAGTAAGTTTTTAGCCTCTTCTTTAGGAGAATATTATTGATAACAGTAGACAAAAAGAAAAAAGTGGACATATAATTAAGAAATCTTCTTCTCTTATAAACCCCTCCGGGATAGAATAAGATTCTGATAATCCCGGCTCCCGCTAAATAGATTCTGATAATCCCGGCTCCCGCTGTTAGTTTTTTCCCGCTGAATAAATAACCCCGGCACAGCTTTTATAATCCCGCCCCGCTAATTTGGCTCAACAAGATTTGTTTTGTTTTGACATTCGATGAGAATTTCAACCGCGTACTGTCACGTGTTTTGATGACGTGTATCACGTGACTAACTACTACGACGCGCATTGGTAAAAAATGTCACGTGACCTATGGCTTAACGTAAGAACTATAAATACACTCGATCTACGTATCGGTCTAATTGCAGGCGCTGGCAAAACTCCAGCACACTGCTTACATTACTTAAACTCTTACATTAATTGGACCAGTTCCAAAACTTGTCTCGACGGTTACATTTGATTTTGTCCGGTTCGGTTAATTTTGTCGTGTTTGATATAAGCCATGTATTATAGTCGTCTACTTTGATAAACTTCATGACACGATATCATTATTAGCTTTTATCGCTTGCCAGGCTTAACTCGACGCCCCTTATCGATATTCATATTCATTCAACGTTCTGACTGAGGAATAATGTTTAGATATAACGCCAATTTCAAAAGTCATAGTACCTTAGTTGTATTTATTTGGTAGTCCCCAATTCCATTTCATATTTTCCATAATGATCTCATAATCATATAGCTATATTTAAGAGTAAAATGTCAAATTTGTTGGTCCTAGCACTAACCCGGAGGGGTTTATAACACATAACACCGGCACGCTTAAGTTATATTAAAATAACCCCTCGTGCTAAAGCACGTCGGGGTTATTTTCATAATAATCCCTCGTGCTTCGCACTCGAAATTATTATAAACTTTTCCCGCGCGTCGCGGGAAAAATTGAAATATAATCCCTGCGCATGCCGGGGTTATGTGTGTTATAAGCTACCAAAGAGCATTTTTAACCACCACCTTGCATCAGTGATTGTAAACTTGATAGAGTAAAGATACAGTTAAACTGCGAAGGCACAACACCAAACCAACCCTACTCTATCTCCCAAAAACAACCTTCTCCTGGTCGGCCATGTCCCTCATCCTGCACTTGACCCCCGCAGAGGTCACAAGCCCATCGGAGCACAAATGAGCGAGAAACGGGGAAGCCTTAGCTACCGGGCCAAGGACTGCATCACTAGCAGCGAAATACGGATATACCCTCCCTTTTACATGCGTTCAACCGGCACCCGAACCACACGCTGTTTCTTAGACATAACTTCCCACTTACATCAGTGTCTAATGACTAATTACTCAGTGCAGTCGGTTAAATTGAACAAGCTGCTATAATTTAATCTATTATATTGAACAATATACCACGAGAAAAGATAAATTGACGCTACTTTGAAGGCGTTGTCTGACGTCAGCTGACGTTTTCTGACGTCAGCCGACGTAGCCTCTTCTGAAGAAAAGTGGGACCCCCACAACCGACCAATCAGAATGCTGTCCATTAAAAACGGTCTGAAGCTGTCAAGGATATTAGTGTGACGGTGGCACTAAAATTAATAGTCCTTTTGAATTTAAAAAGATGGATTTTAACTAGTTCGGCTGAGATTAATATTATAGAACGGTTCGTAATTGAGTCGAGACTGAAAATTCTTTCTTCGGAATACTACATTATGATATCGAGAAGATAAAAAGCTAAAGAGAGGACGAAAAGCTAAAAAGACGTTTAAATCCGTAGTTGTTGTTTCAAATTAAAGCTATTAGGACTTGTAGTATTAAATACTGGTAATTTGGTATAGTTTTTAACGAATTCTTCATTTCTTCTTTCTTCGTGTAGAAATGAATAAACTGAAATGAAAAATCTATTTTAAAATAAACGATACTTCATGATATTAGCAATAATGGGAATAATTCCTTGTCATTTCAGAGCGGAAATGTTTGATAACAGGAAAGGTGTGGTAGATGGTCCGTTCCTCAAATACAGTCCTGTTCCGGACCGAAAACACGATGAGGGTGATAAAGATGAACAGGACGAGTAAGTTTTAAATGAAATAGTGTGCTTGAATCCTGGCCATATAGATAATAACTGACACACGTTCCAGGGATATTGTGTGGTGAATATATCGAACCAACAAAAATAAAATCAACCCAAATCCATCTCTCTCCTGTGATGTTTTCAGCAGTCTAATTGATGAGTTCTTGATTAGTATAGTTTAGCCTACACAAGCTGCACGTGGTTAATTAAGTGGGTGTTCTGGATATTAGTAGGCCGGTGTCCTCCGCTGCACACTTCTCCGTATGAGGTGGCACTTCTCAACCACCCCACCAATACTGTTGAGGTGGCACTTCTCAACCACCCCACCAATACTGTTGAGGTGGCACTTCTCAACTACCCCACCAATACTGTTGAGGTGGCACTTCTCAACCACCCCACCAATACTGTTGAGGTGGCACTTCTCAACCACCCCACCAATACTGTTGTCCCTATTGTGACCTAACAGGACCGGTGAAGTCTTAATTGTCTGTACATGGTCCTCTACTTAGACACTCTTTTATTTCTGATAGTAGTAACCATTGAAACAAACTCTATCAGAGTATCAGGCCTGATAAATCCAGGCTTTCCCAAAACGACTCTGCGATATCCTCTGACACAAGGTATACTTTCAGTACAGATTTCTCCACGCATCTCGTCAAATCTGTCGTGAAGAGCAGTATCCTTGCTTTTTCCCTCCAGTAGGTCAAAGACCATGACACTGTTGCAACCTTTATTGGTCCTCAGTCGTGCCTGCAAATTACGCATTTAAAAATTTTAAAAAACGAAGTTTTTTGTCGGTGCCACACGCTTCATGCTATACAGTTTCACAACTTCGCTGAAACTCTTGATTTTGGCCCTACCTTTTACCTGGACCACCTGGAATTGCTTTACTCTTAACAGTTTCAAAGGTTGATGAGGCTCCCATGATTGCCACTTTGCTCCGATTAAAGTTGCTCCGATTATTAAAGTTGCTGCTTGCTCAATAGTGACAGCAGCTGACCGCAAAAAAGCCGCACTTGCCTACATCACTCTCACAAGTTTCAGAATAGCATGAGCTTATTCTGATTTAAAGTAAGCAATAGCTGATAATATTAATTATTACTGAATATATCTGCCTGACAGAATATCCAACAGGGACGTTCCAGATAACGAACTTGCGATGTCTCAATCCCATCACTCGCAGTGGAACGGCAAGAACATTCCTACTTTTACCCTCAGTAAGTATAAACCTGCATATTCTCTACAGTTCTATCAGATTGCATTTATAAACAGGTTGATACACAAAGCCGGTGGTTTTCAGACCACACACCTTGGGATCCAATTTGTCGGCATGAATTACCGAATTTTCAAGCCCCAAATTTTGAATGACACCCAGCATATGCACATTTTATAGAAAATTATGATGACGATGAAACTTCAAAGCACAATTAGTTTATCGAAGTGATTGATAATATCGAATTGGCCGTTACATAACGACAAGGATACCATTCAACTACATATTCCCTCATTAAACAAACCATACAAATTTTTCCCGACGACTTGATACATATATCGAATCATTTAAAAGTACTTGCTTGTGTATCAACTTGCAGCGAACGTTGAAACTTCAGTAATAGTTCACCTCGGTTGAACATCCTTCCTTGCCATTTTAAACCAAAAAAGTCAGACCTGCAAATAAAAATCTCGGCTAGATAATAACGGTATGATGAGCTCACAAAGCACGCTTCTCACAACCCGAAGACAATCAACACCTGCAGCATTTCTTAGTGCGACTCGAGAGTTCCTCTTTAGGGATCTAGGTAGGGTAGCTCTGGCCACAATCAGCATGTGCCGCTCTGCCATCTCTCCGCTATACTACTACTTTTTATTTTCTTTTGCTTTGCGGATCCTTCCAATTTCTCCGGAGAAAAATCAGATATCTCCGAGCTGATTATTTGTCTGCACTATTTTCCAGCTACTATGATCGCTACCCTAGATTCTAAGCATCCTTTAATATTTAATATGCACTCAGCACTGCTAGATTAATATTATCATTATTTATTCACTGATACAACGATTTTATGAGGGTGACAAATCGGTTCTTTTGTGATATAATAGTCTGGACGTTATATCTAGCGCCAGCCAGTGCTAATGAGTGCTAGATAGCACTATCTAACAGTGATAACACCAGCTAACTAGATAGCACTATCTAACACCAGCTAGCACTAGCTGGTGTTAGATATCGCCAGCCATATATCGCAGCGTGTGAGTGTACAAATAGATTTAAATATTAATACATAATATTTATATACTATATATGATATATACATTGTACACTTATATTTAATATGATCGTTTGAATTTTAATGATTCTTGATTAGAGTTTTGCCTCAGCCCGGGTTTTGTTCAAATTAAAAATAAAACACAGTAATATAATAATCATCTATTCGGTGGATTAAATTGGAGTTCTATTTATTGTAAATTTATTTGTTATTGATAATATATAATATATATTTTTTGGGGGCAACAGATATCAACAGAATAAAAATGAATGTTATAGTTTTATAATTATTACAAGCGGACACGTCGTCTTAACAGTTTTCAGTTTTACTATTTGCATATTATCTTAAATTTTACTTTCTATGCTCACACTGTCTTTTGTGTACTTATACTCAAGGCAAGCCATCAAATTAACAAACTCCTGACGAGTACTTCAGTTGAATAATGTACAATTTAATAATATGCCTGATTGTCAGGAAACTAGCTAACGGTAATCATTTATGAGAAGCGATTTCCAAAACAATCCATTTGCAGTCTAATTATATATTATATACTGGATTATTTGTTGTTCGATTAAATTGATACTTTGATTATTTATTTACTGATTCATTACATCTGAGTTGATCGGTTTTCTGCTTCGAAGCACGTCGTGATTTAAAACGAAATCTTTTTCAAAAGTTGCGTTTTATCAATAAAGGATGTCAACACTGATTTAGTTTTGAACTTAATTTTCAAATATTATGAAGTAACTAAAACGTAGTGTACAATTAAAATATTATTTAATTGATTTATCAAATCATAATGAGTGTTCCTATTTCAGGATCGAATCGTAAAATGGGAAACAAAAGCGCTCAGAAAGCGGCAGGGGACAGCAAACAGTGAACTAGTATCTGCCCATCTAATGGAAGTTATTGAGAATATAGAAACGCCACATTAATGACTTGACATAGGGGAAAGTGTTCTTGTGTTATTGATATCATGCGTTGCCTCGTGACAAGACGGCACTTTGCTGTAAAAAGTGGAATCTTCTTTGAATTTGACGTTTTTAATCATCAGAGAAAGGATGCATCTGCGGCACCGTGTGCGTTTCTGAACTGCTGCAATCGATCCGGAGAAAAGCGGATCAGCTTGTAACTCTTTAAAACGTAACCTGTGAGGGTGATAATGATGATGGCCCTCGGAGTAATGTGTGATTACGCTCTTTACTTTCAACCACCGGTCTTTCTAGCTATGACGTCTAGCTACCCTACTTTTGTCTCATTACAGACTCAACTACCTCGCAATACTACAGTTAAGCACTCACCGCGCAGCGGTGATTATATGTCGGAAATGGAAGGTATCATGTCAGTGTTATTTGATTAATTTTGTTGCTTTTTATGTCTCCTATCTTATCCAGTTTTGTGTGAAAGTTGATACTTGTCAGTTGAACCATGACTGCCATGTCTCGAAGTAATTACGACACGTGACTAGGTTTTGTGTACATGGACCTTCAGTTAATTCAAACACCATCCATGAGAGATCAGGCAAAATTCGCGAAACTCGGATAATATTAATAAATGAGTATGTTTCATATATCGTGCTTTACGGATGCTTATTTTATTGATTCGGAGTGTTTTTAGATCTTTGTATCGCAACCAATCTGCATTGATCGATATTTGAAAAATGTCGTTTGATTTTATTTTTCTATGTTTTAATATATTATCGTGGTTGACAAAATATTTCGATTCAGTTTTAAATTAATATTTGGTTGATTAATTCTCATTTATAGAATTGTGTACAGAAAAGTGCTTCCAAACCGAAAAGTGAGGATATGAAGTTTAGCAAGGCTATTTATCATTTCATTTTACAATTGATTCTTTGAGTTTCTCCTTTAATCTAACTATTTCTTGATTTTTCATAATTACAATTACATTAACAGCAGTTATTTCATTTCACAAATCAAACTGGCATACCTTCGGCTTTAGACTTGTAGATCCATGCATATAATACTTGTAAGGGAAGATAATAATATGCTTGATCGCTGTATCGATCGATTACGACTCGGTATTATCAAGCGTTTTAAAAGATCAGCCGGGCCGCTGCCGACGTTTGAGAGAAAATTAAAAATGTGTAGTGGATTTGTCTTCTCTTGGACCATTTTCAAAGTGACAGTTTTAGGAACTATTTGACAGATAGCGGTATAGTATTTCAATAGTTCATTAAAGTATTCGGCTTGGAGTTTTGTTTCTTTCAAAATATTTCGATAGTAAGTTGGAAGTTGTTATTTATTGTACCTTTATGTATTTAATATCTTTTGATGCAGTAATCAGTATCTAATTATGATGTTTATTGTTTATTGTCCCTCTCAATGTGTAGGCAAGGGGTAGTTCACATATTTCGTAAATCGTAATACAACGTGTTCTATTTTATTCCAAATAGTAATAAATAACCGTGTCGTGTTCTAATACCCGCGTTCGTAAATTTCATGAGTGGCCCCTTGCTCTGCATATGAATGATGAAGAATAGAACTGTCATCCTACCTCATACCCAATACCTGTGACAAATGTTGACGGTTCTGCAACACAAAAATACCACAGAAATAATAGTAAATAGTACCACGCCACGATCTCAGACAAGTTATTAAACACCTGGAACAGGTGTAGTCATATCATAATATCAAAGTTAGTTATACTTATATGTTATAGTTATAGCGACTGTTTCCGGAGTAAATCTTGGCCTATTTCATAACTGTAAGACGTAAGTGTAGCTAATGTTACGCTAAATGTGTTTCATGATTGGCTGGCTACAGTGCGATAAAGTTCCCGATCTGAAAGGGAGTTTATAACACATGATCGTCACAGTCACACATTACAATAACCCTGCAACCAAATGATGAGGCTTGAGCATAATGCATATCCAATCACCAGATATTATGTTACAGCTCAAAGCAACATCTTTTGTGTTTTGCCCCATTTTCATTTGTATCACGTCTTACCTGGGGACCTCAGGCTAGTATGTTCATATCATAGAGATTCGGCGGAATGACAGGCTGAGCGCGGCCCAATAATATCACGTCGTGACCCTCATTGTCATTTCACTTAGTATCGGGGCAAAAGTCACGATACAGCCGCGCACTCGTGCGCTGCGGGCCTACAACGTGAGGCAAATTTTCATTACTATAAAATCCAATATCCAACAAAATTTCTACAACCCAGTAATTAGTTGTAGGTTTATAACCTACCAAGACGCGTGCCGAGTTAGACTCCAGACTCGTCGGCGGTCTTGGAAGTGGAACAAATATTTTACGAGTATCACCCGTTAACCCGATTTATAGAAGGTCCTCGTAATCGTGTGTCGTAGCGCGAATCGCGATACACTACTTGCTACTGGCGCGCATCAAATTATGTTTATCGCAACCACCCAACCGCCTTCGTTAGACCGGTGCAGTGCACCACTGGGCCACGCCGAGCTGCAAAGGATTGACATTGTCAATCAAAAAGGTCCTTACGAATTTTCAAAATGATTCCATTCCAGGAACCGAAGATATAACGGAATAGTACGACGAAAATTACAAATCAATGAATTTCGTCAAATTACGAATTACGTGACTTAATTTGCACTTCCTTGGAGGGCTTCGACGCGCCGCGCAAACTAGCATTCTTGCTAAATCGTTGCTTTACAGAGCAACGATATGGAAAGGTTGACATCGTCAATCAAATTGCTCTAACCAAAGCCCTCTCGCTTGCAGTAGCGTACCTGGGGACCCCAGGCTATTATGTTTATAAACATAATAAAGATTCGGCGGAATGACAGGCTGAGCGCGGCACCTTGCTCTATCCAGAGCTAGAGCCCTTGCGCTTGCAGTGTTGTGAAACAAGCGCGCCTGCAGTGGCGCGAAAGCACATGGTTAGGTGAAAGCGGCACCCAGTAAGCAGTATAGCGCGCGACCGCCGTACGCATATACACGTACATGGCTATGTGAATCAATCAAGCACTTACTGGGCCGCGCTCAGCCTGTCATTCCGCCAAATCTTTATTTATATGTTAATGAACATAATAGCCTGGGGTCCTCAGGTAATCAAGCACTTCTTATAGCTCCAAATCCAATATCTTTCATGGTCAAACGTCGCTTAACGGCCCAGGAAACCCTACCGGCTGGGGTATATCTCCAAAAGTAAAATAGATAGAACCTTCCGGTTTTCAACAAAATGTCCGTCTCGTAAATTTAAAGTTGGCTCCCCAGGAGCACAATTTGGGACAACTTAGATTTTGAATTAAACCAAAAAGTTTGATTTTGGGCTAAATAAAATATCACAGCTTTTAAACTTTGCGAAGTAATGTCGTTGTCATGACTACTAGGCTCAATGCAGCGTGCGAAAGGTAAACTTGATGTGACGCGCGACGCCAAACGTGCTGTTGAAAATCTATCACCTCTAGCAAGCCCAGCAGGCCGTAAGGTTTTCTGGGGGGTAATACTCGTAAAATATCTGTTCCATATATTGGAACCGTCGACGAGTCCAACTCGGCGCACGTCCTGGTAGGTTATAAACCTACAAAACGTCGCCAAAAGCAATTAACTTCATATACTAATACAGTTGCTCTCGTCCAATGAAATCGCTGCATTTTGCAAGTCATTATGCATAATTAAAATACATATATTTTATGCGGAGCTTGGTTTACATAATTTTGTAGATTTATAACCTACCAAGACACGCGCCGAGTCGGATTCGTCAACGGTCCTAATATTTGAAACAAATATTTTACGAGTATCACCCGTTAAACTTAACGGGTTTCATCCCCCCTGTCAGCATTTTTATCTTAATACGTCAGATCATGGGGTGATCTGGGCCTTTTCTTAAAATTTGGGGGAGCGATTTAGTGGGAACGATGCTTTATATATATTAGTCATGTCAAGATGTAAATAATTTGTATCCACCGTGAAGCATTGTTAGTACGGCGTTCATCGGGATCGCGATCTTTACTCCGCGCACTCGTCCTGCGCATGAAAAATTGAAACGACGACAGAAATCGAGCGCTATACAAATTTCATAAGCCAATTTTAAAGTTTAGGTATGTTATTTCTTATGCTAATTGTAGTATTAAGCCCTTGGCAGTAAAGATTTCTTTAGCCTTAAAGGCTGTTTATTCAGAGATCTGCAGATATACTAACATGTTGTTTAAAGTAACAGGAGTTAATAGGAATTGGGTCATTTTGAATAATAAACCGATTTTAGAAGCTTTAGATAAAATTAATGATAATAGCTTAGCGAGAAACATCCAAACTTTTGATTTTTCTACTTTATACACGAATTTAGCCCATAAAGATATCAAGGATGCTCTCAAGTTTACTGTTAAATTAGCCTTTAGGAATAGTAAAAAGAAGTTTATAGCTGTTTACGATAAAGGGTCTGCTTGGGTTAATAGCTTTAGAGATGGGACTGTGGCTTTTGATGAAGTTAAGTTGATTAAATGTGTTGAGTTTCTACTGGATAATTGTTACTTTAAAGTAGGAGAGATCTTATATCGGCAACATATCGGTGTACCTATTGGAATCAACCCTGGTCCATATATTGCTAATACTGATATCTGGATATTATCCGGTTGGAAGAGACAAGGACAAGTGAAACAAGGAAGTTAGGAGTAAGGGCAAATTTTCGGCGTCAACGCCATCTTCAGGCTCAAATTATTTGTTATGTAGTAGTGTTGAAAGTATTAAACGAGTTTTAATACTTTCAACACTACTACATAACAAATAATTTGAGCCTGAAGATGGCGTTGACGCCGAAAATTTGCCCTTACTCCTAACTTCCTTGTTTCACTTGTCCTTGTCTCTTCCAACCGGATAATATCCAGATATCAGTATTTCAATCATGAGACTAATAAACAGCGAACTACTCCGTTATTTGACATATATTGCTAACTTAACTCTTTGGTATTTTGAGAACAGTTTCCTAGACAGTACGTATAAAAGTAGATACTATATTGTAAAGAAGTTAAATAATACATTTAGACTTATAGATGATATTACTACCCTTAACTCTGATGGTTACTTAGAGGAATATTTTAAGTTAATATATCCAGACTCTCTTACTCTTAATAAGGAAAATGAAGTAGATAGTGCCGCCAATGTATTAGATCTTGATATTTCGATAAATAGCGAGGGGAAGTTTTCTTGTAGAGTTTATGATAAAAGGGATAAGTTTGGTTTTAAAGTGGTCAAGTTTCAACCTTTGATGAGTAATCAAGCTAGTAGTGTATTATATGGCACGTACTGTTCACAGGTTGTGAGATATTCTAGGATCTGTAATAATGTTGTTGCTTTTTCTGATAGAGTTTTGAAGTTTACTGAAGATTTAATTGAGTTGGGTTTTAGACGGGATCGTCTTAGTAAAATATACTTATCAGTGGTAAAGAGGCACGGGCTTAAGAATAAGTTTGGTATTGGGTGTGGTAATATATTAATGCCATAGCTTGACCTATGGTATCCTTTTCTAATGTTGCAAAATATTTGTCGCACGTGTTGAATTTAGTTTTATAATAACTTTGCGGCGGCGCAAATCGGAGTCTTAGAATTACGCGGGAAATTACGCGGGAGTAATTGGAGTTTGGGCCAGTTCGTTTTATGACGTATCGACTACGTTTGCTTAGTATACTTTATTCCTACCGTTTTATTACATTTTTTACTTTATCTACCTATCACTATACAGTATACATATTTAATCTTAAATTATCATTTTAGTGGAACTATGTAAAAGGGGATCGTTGCTAGCGTTAAAACTGTTTTAACCCTGCCATAGTCAGTTGAAAGTCTGATAGCATATGTTCCGTTTGATTTGACCAAACTAATGCCTTTCATTGCTTTATACGCAATATTTGTTGCTTCTTCACTGTTTGTCTCAAAAACGTTTTGTTTTGTTATTGCAGGACATTTTGTCATTGGTTCCGTCAAAAATTCTCATAGTGAAATAACATATTCTGTTAAACATAGATTTCTCAATAATCGAGCAAAGATAGTATCAGTTTTTACGAATGATCTTAATTAATGTGTTTCATATGCTTCAAGAGAGATAGTGCTGACCTAACTTTTTAATTCATTCGAACTTCCTCACTATTAATTCAGGCCTCAGGGGCTTGAAGGATCGAGGGAATGTGTTAGCTTTTTTTTTCAAACCGTCTCTATAGGGTGTCAGGTACGGAGCAGTCTGTTTGAATCTCACCTGAGAAGTCTATTTGAGTTCAGCCCCTCCTCCTCAGCAGAACACAGATCAAAGACCACGGCTTTTATCTCTGAAGACATGAGAACCCTGTTGAACATGTTCATCTTCGCTGATGACACCAATATATTTGTGACTGGGAAATCTAAAAAGGAGGCATATATGCGTGGTAATTCTCTTTTAGCTAGTTTATATTCCTACATGCGAGCAAACAAACTCATGTCAACATGTCTAAATGCTGTTTCATTCACTTTAAACCAGCATCGTCCTCCCAGACTGACAATAATTCTGAATATACTCTAACCATTGATAACTTTCCAATAAAACAAGTTGCATCTGCTAAGTTTCTGGGAGTCGTCATCGATGAAAAGCTAACCTGGGAAGAACATATAAAATCACTTAGGCGTTCTCTCAGCCATGCAACATCAACTCTCTGCCGCCTACGCTGCTCCCTCCCAGATTTCTTACACCGCCAGTTGTATTACACTCTATTTGAATCACACCTCTCCTATTGTATCACGGTTTGGGGTGGGGCAGCCAAAACTCGTATAAGTTCTGTATTCAAAGCACAAAAATATTGTCTCAGGGTACTGTTTGGCGACAGGGAGGCATACCTAGATAAATTTAAGACCTGTGCTCGTGCTCGACCGTTTGGCAACCAAAATCTGAACAAAAAATTTTTCTTGAAAGAGCACACGAAACCTTTGTTCAAGGAACACGGAATACTTGCCGTCCAAAACCTGTACACTTACCATTGTTTCCTTGAGCTCTATAAAATCATGAAATTCCGTGCTCCGATTTCCCTCCATGAAAATTTCACCTGCTCAAGTAGGAAACCCACCCTTATACTAAGCCAAGCAGACCCCCCTGACAACTTCAATAGCAGAACGACTCGTATTTGGAACGTAATTGTGCCTAAGCTTGGTATACGTGACTACTGTCTAAGTGTGGCCTGCCTGAAGTCTAGGATGAAGCAATCACTGCTCGTCAACCAGCATAACCATGCTGATCTTGATTGGACAAACAAAGATTTCGAATGCTCTACAGTAATCTAAATTTTGACATTAAGTCTACCCTAGGGTCCACACATCCAAAATGATTATCTTGAAATTGAAAATTAGCTGGGTGTGCATTTTCCTTTGTCTTACTAACGTGTGTGAGCGCAGTGTAGTGAGAAAGTGTTTTTAACAGATTTATTATTAGACTTAGGATTATGATTTTTAATATATGGCATTGATATAAGATTTATTTTTGATAGGTACTTAATAAAGTTGATGAATTTCCCTCCCTATTAAAATTTTAAACCCATTTAGTGAAAATTGATAAACGAAGATCTAGATATTGATACATATTATAACCAACATTGCTTATATTCTGCCTTGTAAACAAAGAGCAAATCTTCTTAATGCCTTCTTCCTGTCCTAAAACTAAAACTTCATCCTATTAAAGTAAAGGCCAGTTGTTACCACAAGCTATTATACCGTCCCTCTCAAAAACATGCCTCAGCCTCCATCAAAAACAATTTTAGTTTTCAGTCCTTCTAGTTTCCAAAAATCTACCGAGCTAGTGTTCTGGTGTGCACAAAAGCCCCTAAGCCCGTGCATTCCTTGCCCCGCTAGCTGCCAGTCCTTGACAAACTTCCAATAGCAAAGATCAACTAGTCATTTACAAATTGAGCACTATACAATTTTAATTGTTTTAAATATTTGACTTTGTAAAATGAGCTAAAACATTGATTTATTAGTTTCATTGATTTATTAGTTTCATTGAAATCTCCGCCAAGCTCGATTACCTCCCGCGCTGTCTGTATTTGTTTCTCACCAGTATTCTTAGACCCAACCAGTGGCATAACGAAGGGCCCCGCCGACCCCACTGTGCGGGGGGCGCAATCTTAGGGGGCGCCAAATCGTCGTTTGAATGTGGGACAGTTTCGAAAAACTTAACTACGGTACTAGCAAAACTGTGCGTTCTGCTCTAGAAACACATTTTTTAGAGAATTTACTGGCGTATCCTCTAAAATCATCTAATTTATTCAATTTTAGGGAGGGCCGCCAAAATGGAAAGGGGCACCAATAGGGGACGATTTTTCGGCGGGAGGGGGGTGCGGCGCCAACAGGCAACGTTATGCCACTGCACCCAACTTCAACTGATTGGTCACGTGTAGGACATATTCAAGGTTTTCATTGCATCAAAGTTTTCTACGGATATACTACTTCCAGTACCTTGATGGCGACTTGTTTTACTTCACCGAACTCACTGATTGGTCACTGATCAAAATTTCAGTCAAAACCGCAAAATTTCGGTCAAGGGAACCAGTGGTGTAACTTTGCCTGTTGGTGCCCCCCGCTGAAAAAGCGCCCCCTGATGGCGCCCCCTCCCCTTTTGGTGTCCCGCCGACACAGGGGGGGGGGTGCGCCTTCTTAGGGGGGCGCCATCTTAGGGGGGTGCCAAATCGTTGTTTGAATATGGGACAATTTGAAAAAAATTAACTACGGTACTAGCCAAACTGCGCGTTTTGATCTAGGAACACACTTTTTTGGAGATTTTACAGGCGTACCCTCTAAAATCATCGAATTTGTTCAATTTTAGGGAGGGGCGCCAAAAGGGGAGGTGGTGCCAACAGGGGGGTGCTTTTTCAGCAGGCAACGTTACGCCACTGCCTACTGGTAGGACATATTCAAAATTTTCATTGCACCAAAGTTTTTGTACAGAATGAAGTTTAGACCGATGGATATAAAGTTATTCAAAAAGTACATCAACTTTTGAAGACACGCTGTAAATTATATGATAAAAGTTACAGAAATTTTATTTGTTTTAAAGTTATTCCATATTAGTAAGGGGAAAAGTGGTTGATTTAAGGGTTTCGTTGGATCGGTTTGTTCACAACAATTTCTCAACGGAATATGGTAGTTAAGACCCTTACGAACATAATTAGACTTGTTGCCAATTTTGTATCTCGCAGCCACACTTTTTTTTGCCACGCCCATTTTGAGGGTCTCGTGTGTAGTGAAAGTTAGAGTGTTTAATCATTTTGGTCGAATTTGTCATGCTATATATCAAACTAGGGGTTTTAAGACTCGAGAAACACGTTGCAACTATCTGTTTAAGGCCAATGTGCTCAGGAAACGCGTTCTCCGATATTATCTAGATTAGAATGATACAAATGGCAAACCGATCCAATGGAATGCCACTTTTCCCCTTACTATATCTTTTATCGACATAATTTTAACTTTTACCTACTCAATTGCTTTAGTTGCAACAATGGGCATAAAAGATATGAATCGAAAGGGCATCCTGATAAATGTGGCAGTTTTTGTGGGGTTTCTCATCCTGTGTATGGGTGGTGGTGGACTAATGGGTGCAATTACTCGAAATGATTTTGGAGACAGCTCAGAATGGTAAGTCTTCACAGGAGTTGTTGTTTTACATAATACAAATTTCCTGCAATTGCAAAGCTTATTATTATACGGGGTGGGCCAAAAGTCAGTACCCATATGTTGGGTCTTATACCTCCGACGTGTTTTATATTTGAGAGTTGTTGTTTTGCAGATAGCATACTGTACATACTTGTTCGAGGATTCCGTCGCCAAAATTTGCAAATTCGAGTATTTTAGACCACGCCCATTCAATATTAAAACACCTATATTGTTATCTTTGAACATGGTGGACGCCTAATTTTTTCAGAGACGGTAGATTATTAAATGTTGCATCTGATCTAAAAAATGATGTGAAACGGATTAGGAATGACGAAATTATCAAGCATTTTGTATACCTCGTTAGCAAAATTTATTGGGAGATTATGTGATACCGTGACAGGACACCTTAATTGGGCAGCCTTAACGATTCCATAATGTTTAACGGGGTGGTTAACGGGGTCACCTTATCACGTGATTAGGTAAGCCAATCACCTGATCACACGTAATGAATAAACTCGTTATGCTTCGTATCTTGGTCATCTGAGAAGCTACAACTCTAATTTTTTCAGGACAAACATAATTCAATAAAATTTAGCTCGATCCGACTATCCAAACTATCAAATAAATGCGAAAATGAACCTTCATTTGAAAAAATGTACACGAATATTTTTCGAGTTGACTGAGCTATAAAGGCCAACGTATGGGTATTGACTTTTGGCCCACCCTGTATGTTTGTGTATGTATAAGGGACTGTTTACACTTCACATATTATTTCAGTAATACCATCCGTCACAATACCATTTGGTTATTACGGGCCAGTCTCCATCAAGATGTATACTGCAAAGACACCGATAACTTTAAATTATGTTTACTATGTTTACTTATAAAGTTATAATTATAAAACAACAATCCCCTTCACTTTTCACTACTTTTCAGGTACACGAAACTTATAAAGCCTAGTTTCAACCCTCCCAGCTACTTATTTGGTATTGTATGGCCAATTCTCTATTTGCTGATGGCTATTTCAGCTTTTGCTGTGTGGACCAAGACAGGAATAACAAAAGAGGTAACTTTTTTGTTTTGATAGATTCTACATTATTATTGAGTTAACCTCAGTTTTACCAAAATAATTGGTAACCCAACCAGTCTACCTTGTTAACTTTTAAACGACCACTTTACCCAAATCGTCACTAAAAATCTAGCTGTACTCTAGCTGTTGTTGTTACAAATGCAGAGAATAAACAGATTTAATATTCCATTGATATTGATTTGAATAAGTACCGACAACCGATTGATTGAGTGGCTCTATTAAGCTAATTGGGCACCCTGTTAACTGTATAGCCTTATTTTCAGCCTGCTCCTTTGGTTATATTTTTCATACAACTAGCGCTAAACTTTCTCTGGACTTTGATATTTGGCAAAGCAAAAGACTTATTGGCGGTAAGTTATTGAGTTATCAATTCAGCTGTTATTACCAGCAGTTTGTGATTGGCTTAATTCGTTTAACTATTTATATTTATAATCAAAATAGAAAATTTATCAAGCTTGCATTTAATTGATGAACACGAGATGATTTCTTATTTGAGCATATAATAAGCTTTTCGAAAGTTTTCAAATAACATGTATTCAGCTAGTGAGGCTAGCATTTTAATTCACAAATCAATAGCTATTCCCCATAATCATCGATGGTCCCTAAGGGGCAGCCCAATATTCTATTTACTCGAATCAGCTTATTTTTAATACCATTCATAGTAGAAGTAAAATTCCAAAATTTCCACCATTCAGATGGTAATATTCACTTATTATTCAGATGGTAATATTCACTTATTTCTTTTTAATCATTTCTTCTGTATTTCTATCACCTACCTGGAAGGATCGAATTTTCATCTTCTTACCTATTCGTAAATAAATCATCTGCAATAATCATTAACTGCGTACGGGTTGAGTGAAGTTCTTAATCTGCTTTCGTTAGACATTATTTTCAACCGCTTTTTATCCAGCCATCATTAAAGGCCCTGTCCTTGTGTATCATGATTTGAATTAACCAACTCAAGCTTGATATTGTAATCGGGACTGAGACATTAGATATAATATAGCTGCTGTTTATAATTGGACCCTGTATAAACATCGCCTTAGCCCTTAATATTGTGAGAAGTGGGTCCCAAACATGCGATCATAGGGCTCTAAGTAGACAATACTAAAATAATTCGAGTGATCTGGATTTTGGTTCAGCACGCCAGATAGTTATATCATAGTTATATCACGGACAGTGGACACAAACTATTGACATGATGTTTGCTACCTGCAATTAAAAGGGAGCAGCGGTGATCTAATGAAACACTGCTTTGTCTGACCCTCCCTCTCACCAAATTTCAGGACAGAGCTAAATGATAAAAGCAGCGTTCACGTGGCGGGATATTTTAAATCTAATTGGTTATGGACACGTTCATTTGAGTTTGAGGATATTGGTAACCAAAAATAATAGCGTTTTCGACGATAGTGGCTTAATTTTGGCATCTATTAACCTAGCACGTTCAGAAGTTCTGAACATTAGCCACCTAACCCATACTCCCATATGCACTGCTCAGAAAGAAAATCTATTGTTGTTAGGCACTATAATGTTTCAAATGTCACATTTTGTGTGACTAAGTTAACTGCAGTTGTCTAATTATCATTCCTTAGTCTGAAATATAATAGATTAGGTCAATCTAACAATTACGATACAACATTGGTTAAAGGGCACGGATCGAACGGTTACAAGGCAATATTTGGGTAACTTTGTCACACTCAGAATACCATACCTCTATTCTACTGTGAGGTGTCCTTAAAACACTTTTAACTCATTATTTGATGGTTGATCTACCAATCATAGCCCTAAAATATGTTGTTTCGAACAGTTAGCTAATACAGACACTTGGTTATTGGGAAATGAGGTTAATTCTGTCACAATATATGGAATTTTAAATTTTGGGCGAATTACTTATATCTGATTTTGGTTTGAAAGGCGGGAAAACTTTATATGATGACAATGTAGTTAATGCAAGTTAAGATCAGTTAATGTTTACATTGTCACAAAAAATGATACGAAATCGTAAATAGGTTAAAAAACAATGATTATAGAATGAAATAGTCTCTTATAATAACTCTTATAATAACTGATGTGACAAAGTAAACATGTCTTGCCCCTATTTTGAAGATCTATTATATATTCTGTAACTCTATAAGAATTCAACATTCTTTCAGAAAAATCGGTAAAATATTGTCCAGAACATCAGAGCTCAAGTTTAACAATTTTAGGTTAAATTTGTCACTAAAAATGTGAGAAAATTAACTTTTCCTGCCCCAACAATTTCAAGATAGTGTGTGAAATTAGCATAGGCTGCTGTATTACCTATATAAATCAATCCAAACTACAAAAGAATATATGTTAATGTGAAGACGATTACCCAACTCTAATAATAACTGATGTGACAGAATATTGTCCAGAACATCAGAGCTCAAGTTTAAAGATTTAAGATTAATTTGTCAAAGACACTGAAAATGTGACAAAATTAACTTTCCCTGCCCCAACAATACCAAGATAGTGTGTTAAAATTGGCATAGGATGCTTTATTGCCTATATTAATCGAACCAAACTACGAAAAAGATCTGTTAATCTGATGACGATTACCTAACTCTTATAATAACTGATGTGACAAAGTAAACATGTCTTGCCCCTATTTTGAAGAACTATACCTCTATTAGAATACTATGTAACTTTATCATCAACAAATTTTCGATAAACTAGTTATTTTGCCAGCAAGGAGCTAACAGAGTTATAATAGTTTTTTGTGACGAAATTACCCTATTTTTGACCATTGTGACACTGTTAACATAATACAACCGATAATGATTTATGTGACTGGCGCATGGTACTAGCAGTGTTGTTTGATCCATAGTACGTAACATAAGGGGTTTAAGCTGGTATATCATTATTTGTTCAATTTCACACATGCTCAGATATCATTAAGATTATGTGACAAAGTAAACTTGTTTGTGCTTTCTGTGTTTTAATTCCTTACGACAATATGATATAATAACAATTCCTAGCACTTCCAGGCCATCAAATAAACCTACACTATTCAGCATTGCTTATCAGGGTGCCCTAAACATTCTTCACATATTTTCTTAAATGTGTGACAGAGTAAACCTGAGTGCACCATCTAACGAAATAGATCATCAAATATGTAGGTAATGGTCATATGTATCCATCCAATCAACTGGACACTCAAAAATTTGGTCAAAAACGGCAGCAAGGGGTCCATATTTACTCCGTCACATGTTTATAGTGTGACAATGTAACCATTTCCGTGCCGGCCGTATTTAAGCGATATCTTATCACCTGATTAAGATATCGTTATGTGACAAAGTTAGCTTAAAGGATGAGACGATTATCCTTACCATCAAGGGTTCGTGTAATTTCATAGTGTGACAAAGTCAACTACATTGTGCCTTTAAATAGGGTCACTTATATTTACCAATATCCTCAAACTCAAATGAACGTGTCCTTATAACAATATAAGGGGCTCAAAATTTAATTTTTAGTAGCTTCAGCTCACTGCGTACGTAGGTCATTGAACATTACTGTCAAAAAGCACACATGAAATTGGTTGTTTAGTTGCTTGGTAGAACCTTCAGTTAGGTTATAGGAACACGAAGGTTGTGAGTTTATTGATAAATAAGGAGGATTGATTAAAAAAGGAGAGAATCCGTTAAAAATGAGCCGATTTGAGATTTGAAGGACAGTACTGTTGAAGTAGGAAATAAAATGTCGGCAGAAATTTTAAAATACATTTAAATATATCGACTTTCTGTTAGTTAAAACTCTCTGTCCCGTGTCCGTGCCAACTTTAAGTCCGTTCACCGATTTATCTTGTGAGAACTAATTATTTTACACTCTGGACTTAGTTAAACTTTCAGAGTTTGGTAGAGATCGTGGTTTTGTGGTTTGCTATCGTCCTGACAATACTGCAATTCTGGAAATTCAGCAGAGGTGCAGCTCTGTGCTTGGTACCATACCTGGCGTGGGTGACCTTTGCTACTGCTCTTAACTACAAATTGTTCGAATTGAACCCTGAAGCTTTTAGTAGTTGGGACGGTTTGAAACCGGAGTTATAAATCTCAGAATTACAAGTGAGAAAATGCTTTTAAATTATCTGTGGAATGATTTTGGCTCAATGAGCTTTTTTCACCAAAAAAACTTAATTTGCCTTGATAAAATAGCCTTGAGTAATGTGTCTTTTTTCATGGAAAAATATTCTGTGAAACCTCAGTTCAAAGAATTTTGACCCTCCAACAGTCCTATCTGTACCACAGAGCACATTTGCTGCACAGCAAGTCTGCACTTAACTGTTTAATTCGGAGATGAAACCTGATGCAAATTCCCGATATGTATGTGACACACTTTAGTAGCTCAATTGTCGTGCCTTGATGTATGACGTCAGTGTTCGGAAGTTCAGTGTCACGTGCTTTTCCGTTACTTCGTCATAATAGGTTTACATAATAATGTTGTTGGAATGCGCATGGTTGTTTTACTTGAATATGTTCGCGCAAACTAAAAGCATGGTCGCCGCGCCGCGCCCACGCGACGGCTGTTCAGAACGTCGATTTTTGCGATTCTAATTAGATAGGATTACCCTAGGATATATCCTAGCGCGTCCGAGATATCTCGGATTTTATCAATCCTAACGCCGATCCAGTCCCCCCAGAATACCTCCGATGAATTCCTATCGCCGAGCGGCGATAGGATGTGTAAGTTCCGAGAGGCGATAGGATTTGCTCTCGGACCCGATAGGAAATTAAAAACCTATCGGATCCGAGCGCTAATCCTAGCGGAGATAGGATTTAACAATTCCGAGTACAGATAGGATTTGCTCTCGGACCCGATAGGATACTCAAATCCTATAGGATCCGAGAGCAAATCCGAGAGGCGATAAAATTTCAAATATCAGGACCGATATAATTGGAAGACGACGCATATCTAACTGTAGGTTGAAACTTCAAGCTTTCTGTCAGTTAACTTCAGGATCATATCAGATCGCTTTATCTTAAGTTGATCCACGGTTGCCTGCAGGTTACAACAACTTGGAGGTTGTTTAGGTTAAATTAAGTAGATAAATGATAACTTGTAGTTCTCTATAAGAGTTAACTCTAGGATACCTTGTAGTAATCTTCAAGTTAACTTCAGAATACGTTGTAGTACTCTTCAAGTTAACTTCAGGATACCTTGTAGTACTCTTCAAGTTAACTTCAGGATACCTTATAGTACCCTTCAAGTTAACTTCAGAATACCTTGTAGTACTCTTCAAGTTAACTTCAGGTTACCTTGTAGTACTTTTTGAGTTAACTCCAGGATACCTTGTAGTACTCTTCAAGTTAACTTCAGGATACCTTGTAATACCCTTCTAGTTAACTTCAGGATACCTTGTAGTACTCTTTATGTTTTCGATCTCGATGGAATTTTATTTGAGTTCGGAAACGCGCAACACACATTTTATCTTCCGGAAATGGTTTGTAGGTTTACAACCTACCAGGACGCGCGACGAGTTGGACTCGTCGACGGTCCTGTTCCAATATATGGAACAGATATTTTACGAGTATCACCCGTTAAGAAATGATGAATCCGAGAGCACACGTCTCGGAAACATAAATCCGAGAGCACACCTCTCGGAAACGTAAAATCCTAGAGCTAGGCTCTCGGATTTTTTCTATCCTATCGCCTCTCAAAAATAAAATCCGAGCGCCTAGCGATCGCTAGCGAGCTTGCTTAGCTAAGCTACACCTAATCTACACCTAATAGCTACTGCACCTAATAGCTACGGCTGTTCAAAAGGACGATTTCTGCGATTTTAATCAGATAGGATTATCCTACCCTCGGATTTATCCTAGCGCGTCCGAGATATCGCGGATTTTATCAGTCCTTACTGCTTACGCCGATCCGGTTCCCGTAGGAATTAGGATACCTCCAATGAATTCCTTTCGCCGAGCGGCGATATCTTGCTTAGCTAAGCTACACCTAATCTACACCTAATAGCTACTGCACCTAATAGCTACGGCTGTTCAAAAGGACGATTTCTGCGATTTTAATCAGATAGGATTATCCTACCCTCGGATTTATCCTAGCGCGTCCGAGATATCGCGGATTTTATCATTCCTTACTGCTTACGCCGATCCGGTTCCCGTAGGAATTAGGATACCTCCAATGAATTCCTTTCGCCGAGCGGCGATAGGATTTGTTACTGTTAGTTCCGAGAGGCGATAGGATTTGCTCTCGGACCCTATAGGAAATGTAAAACCTATCGGATCCGAGCGCTAATCCTAGCGGAGATAGGATTTAACAATTCCGACCAGATAGGATACTCAAATCCTATAGGATCCGAGAGCAAATCCGAGAGGCGATACAATTTCAAATATCGGGACCGATATAATTGGAAGACGACGCATATCTAACTTTAGGTCAACTTCATGCTTTCCGATCGCCACCGATTCGAACGTGCGGTAAAATACATAATGCAGCTCTAACTTCAAACTTTTAATATAGATCTCCGTCCCCTATTTTTGTTTGCAAGCTCGACCCTTCAACCCAAAAACTCTGTATCAAACGATGAAAAGTAACATCAGATAATATTTTCAGGCATTTGTTGAGATACTAGTGCTTATAGTCTTCATAGTACTGACCATGGTGTTTTTCGCCCGGGTAAAAGGTAGAGCTTGGACCCCTCTACTTCTACTACCCTATCTCGCGTGGGTATGTTTCGCTACTGCACTCAATTGGAATCTGTATGCTCTCAATAAGGAGGGTGATGAATAGAATACATAATGATAATTATTCAGATATGACTATGAGTTCAATTCAATTTTTACTTTAACTTGACACTCGAATATTGTAACTTTTTTAACATTCCAGATTTGTAGTCGATAATCCGGGTAGTTAAATTGATTGAATAAAATGAGTTATGTATTGACATGTTTTTAATTACCTTTGACCTTGTAATAACATATATTAACTTGCTTTTTTATTTCCAGTGCATGTTTTAATGGATGTAAAAGCTGTTTATTGGCATTCCGTGACCTTTTGCAATGCATGATATCTTTAAACAGCTCTCCAATGCCAATATCCGTGTGTGTGTGTGTGTGTGTGTGTGTGTGTGTGTGTGTGTGTGTGTGTGTGTGTGTGTGTGTGTGTAGAAAGAACTAATTTAGATATCGGCATGGGCTTAAGTTTTTTTCCTTTTTTGAGGTCAACTTAAAAATGAATCGATTATTTGTGTTTGTTAGACGGGGTTGGCATTGAGATCACAGAGTTGAGAGTACCCTGATTTGAAGTAGCCAAAATATTAATGATTAGTAAATCTGCGATGTTCTGTTATCAATTTTGAAAATTACTCTTTCATTTTGTTGTATGGAACTTTCTTAAACATTAAAGCCTAAATCTAACAACAACTATTCCCGAGATTTTGATTGACACACACCCCCCCCCCCCCCCCCTTGTATCACGTTGCGACCCCCACGGTCGTTTCACTATGGTCCTGACGATATAGGGGAGCCGCGCACTCGTGCGCGGCGGGTCATACAACGTATGAGAACCCCCCGGCCCCCGACCATTTAATTTATGTTAAGGAAATGGTTACCTAGCTTGCTAGTCTATTGCTCGCTCCTCTCACTTGTTAACGGGTGATACTCGTAAAATATCTGTTCCATATATCAGGACCGTCGACGAGTCCAACTCGGCGCGCGTCCTGGTTGGTTGTAAACCTACAACTCACTTGCGCATTGCGGTAGCTCGTAAAGAGCGCCGCGCATTGGGATCGGTGTGCCAGATAAAGGAAAAGGACGCGGAAGATCGAGGTTGCACATTATATTCAATTTCATATATGCTGTATGCGTAATTATAATTGATAAAGTGCTTCGAAATAGGGTCAGTCCATTAATGAAGAACAACGGGTAAAATTACTTGGGGACCCCAGGCTATCATGATCATAAATATTTGAGCTGCAGCTAGAGCTATGAGTATCCTTTTACCTAGCTTGCTAGTCTCTCGCTTCGTTTCCGTTTGTCTTACTGGGCCGCGCTCAGCCTGTCATTCCGCCAAATCTTTATTCGTTAATGAACATAATAGCCTGGGGTCCTCAGGTAACGTTTGTCATACGTTGTATGACCCGCCGCGCTCGAGTGCGCGGCTCCCCCTGTATCGTCAAGACGATAGTGAAACGACCGTGGGGGTCGCAACGTGATACAAGTTTCCGTCACATCGAATAGAGGGCATCAGTCCCATTTACTGGGCGGCGCTCAGCCTGTCATTCCGCCGAATCTATGTTTATGAACATAATCAATAATAGCCTGGGTCCCCAGGTAACATAACAGTCCCATCAGTCCATTATCGTGTTTAGCCACTTTAGGCATAATTTAAAGGAAGTCAATTTCTCATCGGAAAATTCATACATTTTCAGACAGCAAATTTAAGTTTTGCATTAATGTATAATTTTATTCTTGATTAAATATTTCCATCTAGACAAAATAATAGACATAATTTTAGTGGTTTAATTTAGAAGCCGGAACCAGAAACAGTCTTTACCGCTGATCCATTTTGACAATATCAGTCACGAATCCCGTAATTATAAATCTCCAAATCTTGTTTCTGAAGAGAATCCATCAACAAAATTGAATGCGATAATACAAATCTAACATAGCATCGTCTGTGACTTAAAGAGAAAATACTTACTCTAGAAAAAGCATTTTAATCATAGTAACGCTGTACAAAAGATTGAATAATTATTAAGAAAACTTCACGAGTTTTAAGGCTATGATTGACTGGCAAAATTTGCATCACGTTTTGAAAATAAAACTTAAACTATTGCCACTTTTAGCACAACGAAGAGATACAGTTAAATGTTCAAGTTAAGAACGAAAAAATCCACGGAAGCAAAGTTTCAAAACAATGTTCGGGAATAAACAGCCATCATCGAAAAATTCATTTTCAAAACAAGTTTCACACGGCCTAAACTTTAAACTGTATTAATTTACTGATGTCCGATATGTATTTCAAAGAATATATTCTCAATGACAGCTGTAGTTACAAAGCTCTAACTTGACAATCAAATATCATATCACTCATGCGGAGAACACTTATTCAACTAAAAACAATTGGAAATACAAAGCCATCTATGAACTTAAAAACATCTACTGATAATTTAACCCTAAAATATTTGACCAGATAGGCACAGTTCTATCATTATTGGACGAAATACGAATTTTGAAGGGTCGAAATTTATCTTTAACACGTGGCTTTAACAGTCTCACATCACCCACTATTTAGACCGATCTTACCCATCTCAAGAAAAATGAACACTGAACAGTCCTGATCACATGGCGTACTTTTTAGTCCACTCTCGTGCCAGCTGCTTATACTTCTTCTCGTCGCTCTTGTACATGCGAGCTATCTCGGGGACCAGAGGGTCGTCTGGGTTGGGGTCCGTTAGCAGTGAGCATATTGACAGCAGCACTGAAATTTCAAGTTGTTAGTACTAGAAAATAAATGGTAGTTCTGAGTAAGATTTCTCTTGGAGAATTTCTCTTTAGACTCTTAACTTGCGAACAAATTGAAGCAGCAAACTTTAGGCTAGAAACTTTATTGAATTGAAATAATCATTCCACGTAACAACGTCTTCTTCAGTTCTGTAATAAAATTGTTAAACATGTGTAAAAATTAACGACGGAAAGAAATTTAAAATAACATTAAAACAAAAACAGAGAAATAAAATAGTAAACGTAAAACTGGTTGTTCAGAACCAGTTTTACGTTTACTAATTAGTTTAGTATCATGAGTAGTACAGTATTTAGTTGTATTAGCTTACATTTCTTCTTGTCGTATTTTTTGTTGTTTTGACATTTTTTGCAATTACATTTTTTGGGTCATATTTCGTAAATTTTATTTCTCTGTTTTTGTTTTAATGTTATTTTAAATTTCTTTCCGTCGTTAATTTTTACACATGTTTAACAATTTTATTACAGAACTGAAGAAGACGTTGTTACGTGGAATGATTATTTCAATTCAATAAAGTTTCTAGCCTAAAGTTTGCTGCTTCAATTTGTTCGCAAGTTAAGAGTCTAAAGAGAAATTCTCCAAGAGAAATCAAGTTCAAATGCGACTCATAAATATAGCCCCCTTGAACTATAGTTCTGAGTAAGTCAATTTATTAATATTCTCAGCTGGGAGGTGGATAGTGCGTCAGATCACGTGATACTGATTCTACCACGCACACTAGCAAGAAACTAGACACCGTATCCAATATCCATTAGAATTGTGATAATCAGCCTATTGTAAAATAAACCAAATTGATTTTAAGTTTTGATTGTAAATTTTAATTTGTTTTTATCTGCTGGTACTATGTTATTTCTATTTCTATTTTTGCTAGTTAAATGGCCAATTACTTCATTATCATGAAGTTATTCAAAGGATATAAATGTATGCAAATAACCACAGCTGTGTCCGCGATAATCATATGATTCTCCGGACAGTCCACCCTTTTATGTTATTTTGTTGGAAAGTTCCGCCACAAAGCCAGCTCTTAATTACATATAACTTACATTTATTTAACAAAAAATAGGTACACAACTTTATGGATCACACAATACCTGAATAGACCACGATTATCAGTACAAAGAAAATGTCAACTGAAATAATGTCATTACCTTTGGAAATGGTTAGAGCAGGACTCCACTGAGATCGAAGAATGTCTAGACAAATGCTGCCATTGTTATTGATGTTTGGGTGGTATATCCTCGTGGTGAATGACACCTGAAAGAATGGTATCTTTAGAATTTCTAATTATATCCTAGAAAGTTCAAGAACGTCTTAGCAAGATCATCATATTGAATAGTTGCCCTCGGGACATATGTAATGATATAAAAGTATTTTGGTAAAATGTAGAACAATCGCAAGTCGCGCGGCAGTTTGATAAGAAGTTCGATGTCAAATGTCAATTAAACAATTGATTTGCTAATTCATTATATACACTGATATAATCAGATTCGTCTAATTAAGATCGTATAATCTAGTGCAACGCAAATGTCTAGCGACACTACAATTGCACCTTCATACTTTACATACGTTAGCGCACAAAATTTGTGTGCTTTAACGCGCGCGCTTGGTACTGAAATATTATTTGATCGATGACAAAAGGTGAGGTCACACTTACAGTCCCTGCATAGACTTGAGTCACGAGGTTTAATAATCAACATTCCCATTACGTAGAGCCATGACCATTTTAATTAATTGAATTAATAAACTTACTTACAAATGGTCAATGTTTTCAACACATAAAATGTTTACCTCACAATTTAGATCTTTTGAGCGTGACTGTGAGTAGGTGGGTTGTCCATAGTGATTTTATTTAGGGAACATGATTTAGTTTATTTTAATACTTAGAAAACATAAAAACTAAAACCCTAGCTAGACAGTGCGTGGTGTGTTAAAAGAGCAGATCATTGCGCATCTGTTGCCATGACGCATCAGCGGCAAAGTGTAACATGAAACTACACTCAGAAAGGGAAGCCTTGCGTTTAACGTACATTTGGTCACATGACGCTACTAAAAGTAATGTTTGATACGGTAAAAGTCACCCAAGATCGATCATAATGCGGATTATGTTTCTTTTGTTTTTATTTGACACACAATATGAACATATATTTAGATTCAGGTGTTTTCTAGAAATGAGTCACAAGACTCGCAGTCACATGACACAGGTACAGTGTATAAATACTGATAATATGAAACCTTACTGACAATGTCATTTTAAATATGAGATGTAAGAAGTGTACATTAACATGGCGTATTTCAGGATAATACGGTTACGAATGATACCGCCTCCACGAGGCTGAGGAGTGGAGGGATTAATCACAATATAACGTGACGTCACGTGAGCTAATTGTTAGTGACTATCCGGTTCCGCAGATACACACTGACAAGGTGAAATTATGAGCCAAATCGGCGACATTCATATTGTGAAGTGTCAACAATAGTGTGGGAAGGGTTAAGTATAACAATGAGGTCATTTATGTTTTATTTTGGGGTGAAACTTTTTGAATAGATTTAGGGTGTATCACAAGTTTCAAATAACGTGATTCGTGACTTTGAAACAATGGACGGTGAACGATTGAACTAATCCACACACGATCCAGAGGTATGTTTTACAAACTTGGTATGTGATAATGTAGGAATGTGACAACACAGATCATAAGCAATTCTAGGCAAAAACCGATGATAAAACAAGATAGTTTCACAAACCTTTGGGGGCTTGAAAGGATAATCTGTAGGGAAGTGGATTGTAAGGAAGAACACTCCACCGTTGTACGGACTATCGTCCTGAAATCATTGTAATTACATTCAAACTCTCGTTTATAACAATCTACACTGCTTACATCAGTATAACATTCACAGGTTACACTCATTGTACACTCACAAAACTTCATTACTGGTCTAGTATTGTTAGGCAGGTTTTGAGGACTTTAGTTTTACTACTACTATAAAGCTATCACTTTTATGTGCTAATTATCGAATCAAACTGATATTGCATCACATTTAAATCGGTACAGACTTGTAACTTTGTTTTTAACGAGCAGTGGATTGCTGCTATAATGGATTGCTGCTATAAGTATAATAATAAAAGGTTTAAGGATTTTAAATTTAAAATATTACCAGAAAAGAATGGTCTGCAGTTTTTTTAACAGAGCTTATTGTAAAATCTGAAAACTTTCATAAAATGGCATTGTGTTTCTGATGTAAACGGATTATCTAATTGAAAACTTTTGCACGTGCAACAATTTCATTAATAACACCAATAAAATTTGTATCTTGCATTTCCATATCCATTTATATCCATGCTAAAACCGACAATTCATCATTTTTTATTTACTATCGATTGTTCATTTCTGATTATTTCTGATCATCCATTGCGACAATTACAAAGAATAAAGTCATGAGAAGACTGTTAATTAGAAGTTAAATGTCAGGATATGAGTTGGTATATTATATCCGTCACTTTTATTGCATCTTGTTAATAACGTGACATTTCCCCAGTGATATATCTGTATATACGAGCATGACAGCAACTGTGAGCTAATCATTATACAATAAATACATGTAATGTTACATAAGCCTACTATCATAATCAATAATTAACAAGGTTATCATTGAATATTCAGGTTTAATAGCTGAGATGAGATAAGATAGTGAGCTGATTACTGGATAAATTTCGAAATAAGTAAAGATTTTTTGTTGATTAGCAGTTATATTTCTTTATGAGCAGGGCTGGTTGTTTAACACAGTTACAGTGTAATGTTTAGCTATATTTAGCTATATTTAGCTATATTTAGCTATATTTAGCTATGTTTAGCTAGGTTCACTATCAGACAGAAGGGGGTCCCTGCGCCCCGTCCATCTTGTGACCCGTACAGACGGTGTACTTGTTCAAATACAAACTGGGCTCTTATACTCGAAGATATGCTAGACATAGAACAGACAGGCTGTATTATTACTGAATAATTACTTTTTCAATGATATTTTATTAGCTTTATTAATAAAAATTGCTAGTTATAACTAATAACATTATTTTAACAGTAATTATGTTCTAAATAATATGATGCACAAACCGGTCCCGAGATGGTTGCTTGCCAATGAAACACTGAAAAAAAGGGTTAATATTAGAGTTCAAATAAATGCGATCGTTATTAATTCGTTCATGTAGAGAGAATCACACTAAATCACACTAAATTTGAGTACAGGGTGTCTTTAAAAACAGAACCAAGTGATCAGTATTAATAACCCAAAAAGGGTAAGGATTCTAGTATATGACCCATTCAAGTAGGGTGTGGCAGCCTCATGGTGTTTTTTTACAATTTGCCTCGATCATTGTCTCGCTAATTTGTATGCTATCGGCTTGTTCTTGGTTCCAAAGGAAGATCATGTGATGCTAAAATTGGATAACCACCTCATTTGCTCGAAAACCGACATGTGTTCTGTAGTGATCAATTCATTGTGGGTATCACTTGGTGATTGAGTGCAATGGCCAATGTTGGTGGTTCTCGTGCGACGTGCACCCTGTCACTAGATAGGGGGCAGCAGTGATGCAGACTTCATCAACAGCTGATCCCACGAACTGACTATTATACAGGGTTGACAGGGTGGATCACATTATTGTCACGCAGATTATGAACACAATGCACTAAAAGACTAAAATAAAACTTAAAAAATAAACGCTGAAATGTTCTCTGCAGCAGCTCAGTGCTGGCGGAAAATTATTGGGCCAAATGAGCAGGTTCTGATGGAATTGTCGTCTGAAATTTTGAACACGTGATTATTATTATTAACAAATGTCACTTGGTTTTGATTTGTGGACACTGGACTGGTTTATAACACTTCACGCCAACTTGTCTTTATTAAAACATAAATTGAGTAGTTGGAAAGATATAACATTATCCTATGCTATCTCCAACAGAAGAGTTATAATATTAGTAGAACATTGAAGCACATATTGTTAATGTAAGAAAGCACATACTGTCTTCAAGAGAGACAGGGCCAGCAGAACACTGAGCAGGTGGATCTCGGCCCAAATCTTGTAACTCCTGTAAAATGTGTTAATACTATTTTTGCAAGGTAACATATCTAGCCACCAAAAGCTTCATGTCTAATGAAAATGGTAAGGATTATCTTTAAATAGAACAGTCAACAAATTGGATCAGTGCTCCTTGATCAAACGAATAAATATGAAATCAACGTCATTTTAATTAAATGGTATGGTGAACTCAGATATTATTTCTAATTTGATGATGATCTTCGAGTCGTATATTGTCATATATTGTCACAAATTGTCATATATTGTCAAATATTGTCGTATTATGTCATATATTGTCTTGAAATCTTATCGTATATTATCATATATTGTCAAATCTTGTCGTATATTGTCATAATATGTCGTATTTTGTCATATATTGTCAAATCTTGCAACAAATCTAGCCTACCAAAAGCTTCATGTCAAATGAAAATCGTTCAATTAGGTTAATTTTACAATAACATTTTTCTCTGGTTTCGCATTTTATATAGAAGTACTTGATGGTTGTTATTCGTCATGAAAGTTGTAGCAGGCTAGATTCATTGTATCTCTTCGCAAAGTTGTGTAAATAATATGAAACAGATACGTCTTCATCAAATTGAATGCTGAGTTTATTACTTGACTGAAATTTAGTTGTCCTAGTTAAATTACCTTGTGGATCCTTTTTAAGGCCATGATGATGTGTGATGTTTTGGGACTCTATGAGCCTGACTCTAAATTGAGCCGACCAAATTCCCTAAATGATAGATTTATTAGGAAAATTATAATATAATTTACAATTCTTCAACCAAATTCTATTGTTAATATAATTATTGAAATCACATCTTTGCGGAACCAGGGGAGTTACAAAATATTGGTAGTATCAGAGATATGTCAAAGGCCCGTGGCCCGTAGCCAACAGCCAAAAATTTACTATAGACATCATTGTTACAACTAAAATCATTACTGTGAAAATCAGATGAAATTAGAGCTTCTGGGGACCCCACACCCTTAATTAGATTCGAGCGGTTTGAATACTGTAGCAGCAAGCAACATGTTCAGAATAGAATGTATATGAAGTCATCCAAATTAGTAACTTAAATACATGATGATCGCAGATCGTTGTGCGAATAAAATGTTGGGCAAATTTTTATAACTGAACTGTACTAATTAAACTATTAATTGACTGTAAACTTTATAGTATAGTATAGTTTACAGTACTCTATTATCAGGCTACAATTTTATTATTTCTATGAATACCACATGTACAGTTAATTTGTTAATATATTGTATGTATATAGATTGTACACCGAGCTTTCAAAGATTTCCTTAGAACTCAATTGTAATTATGTGGAGGTTTCAAGGAGGCTCAATTTAAAATAGCATTTTTCTAAGCATAAAGCAGCATTTCATAGAGAAGCACTTGATGGTTGTTATTCGACATGAAAATTGTAGCAGGCTAGATTCATTGTATCTCTTCACAAAATTATGCAAATAATATGAAAGATACGTTTTCATCAAATTAAATGTTGATTTTATTGCAAGACTGTAATTCGGGTATCTTAGTTTGATTACCCTGATGATCCTTTTATGGGCTGCCATGATGTCTGATGTTTTGGGACTCTGTGAGCCTGACTCTTAATTGAAACGACCAAATTCCCTAAATGATAGATTGATTAGGAAGATTATAAAACAATTCAATTTTTGCTTTTTTTTCAATGGAACAAGAAAATCGAATCTTAAGCACATTTTACAAAATAAATAGATGTTAATTAACACATTATGACCATTCGGTGAACAACTTATTGTCCTTGACTGCTAGTCAGATAACTAACAGGGCAAGGAATGTGCGTGCCTGAAATCTTTTGTACACACCGAAACGCTAGTTCAGATAAGATGAGCTTTAGAGACAAGGCAAAAATCAGGAACTGACAAAATTATTAGCAGACGTTAGGAGTTCTGTTAATAATTATTATCATGAATTGCAGTCTTGAAAGTCTACACTACAATATGCTTGTGACTTGTGTCCAATCAAGCGGGGCGTGACTATGTTGAATATATGATAGTGTAAATGCACGTTTAAGCTTTCCCTGCAAACACATCACACTCATGGCAAAGTCAGCCATTCTAGGATTTGGAGTAATCACGTCAAAAGTTTTGATTAAAGAAAACAAATTTTATGTAAAACAAAAGTTAAATTTTATTGCCTTTACAATGAATAAGGATATCATAATAAATATAAGTAGACATCGGATAATAAACTTGTTAGGTCCAGTACAACCCAAGATTAATAGGGAGGGATTGTTGAGCATGTGTATCCCTCATGTAGTAGGAATATTGGAGCACGAAATTTCATTATCTTGTAGAGCTCGCTAGGATATTTTATATTTTAATAACAGTTTAGTGTGCTATTTTATGAAAACTTGTTGTCAAACTTTTGGTGCCTTGTACTATTGATCGTACGTGCACATGTCTTAAACTTAACACTTCTTATTTTCGGTCTTTCAATGCAAGAGTTCTGACATTTGTTGGTTGTGAATGTTAAACATACATAGTGCATATTAACATACATGAAGTTTGCCTGCTATATTGACCCGGGCAAGCAACAGGGACGAACATCCCAACACCAGTGCAACACCTAGTGGTTAGTTAACGGATGATATTCCATACTCGTAAAATATTTGTTCCACGTATTCCAAAACCCGGAGTCCAACTCGGCGCACGTATTAGTAGCTTATAAACTTAAAACATACAATAATACCGGATGTCGATATCTCTTTCAATTTTGGAAGTAGCCCTTATAGCCAGTAAATATTTCTGGTAAAGCTAAACCCATATGCAATATGATTTAAGTTTAAAAAGTGTATACAGTATATGTTAATCCATCGCAGCTCGGCGTGGCATTAAAGAATATGCGGCATATTGAAATAATACTTATAATTATTTATAGTTATATTTACCTGGGGACCCCAGGCTATTATATTCATAAACATAGCCTGGCGTAATTAAACCCTCTAAAACGCGCAAATAGGCGCATTTATGCGATTTTACAATCAAATAATCAGATTTTACAATATATAATTTAACACAGCCCGCGGCTCTTGTAGCGTATACGTCACTTTTTTTTTTTTTTTTTTTTTTTTTTTTTTTTTTTTTTTTTTAATATACACACAAATTTTCAAAACATAACATCTACTCCATCATCGGGCAGAAGTAACTACATGGACCAAATGTGTGATTTAGTGGTAAATCATATGAATAAATTAATCGTAATTCACTCAGCCCGAATAAAGATTCGGCGGAATGACAGGCTGAGCGCCGCCCAGTAAAGTTACATTGGAACCCAAGTTTAGTGTTTATAAACAATGATGGCAGATGGAATAAATGGCGTAATGATTTTTGTGCTTTCGCGCCACTACGAGCAGGATTAACATCGTGAATCTAAAATAATTAATTGGTTAAGTATTGAAATATACTTTTACTGCAAACGAGAGGGCTTTGGTTAGAGCAATGCTTTTGGCGGAAATATAAAATTTGCGCCTTGTTAATTTATAAATTCACAAATTTGTTGGTTAGGAATACTTACACACTTTATTTAGGGGTCGTTCACATACTACGTAATAATTTTTTGGAATATTCTACCCCCCCCCTCCGTAATCAGTTTTACATTCACATAGCCATGTGCCTACGCGTTCACATAGCCATGTGTCTACGCGTACTGCGGTAGACAAGCTTGCGGTCGCGCGCTACTGCAAGCGAGAGGGCTCTGGTTAGAGCAAGCCTACGCGTACTGCGTGACGCGCTTGTTTCACAAGTAGGATAGTCGCGCGCTACTGCAAGCGAGAGGGCTCTGGTTAGAGCAAAGTTTTACACATAGCTATTGTGAGTAGTAATGTATGTGCTGATTTGGCTGCAAAAAATATCTATTCTGCACAGTTGTCACGTGGTGTAAAAGAGAGCCTCTGATTGGTCATTAAGGCAGTGTCACGTGATTTATATTGCTGCAAAAAATATCTATTCTGCACAGTTGTCACGTGGTGTAAAAGAGAGCCTCTGATTGGTCATTAAGGCAGTGTCACGTGATTTATATTCGTTTTTGTGAATCTGGTTGGCTAGTTGGCGTTGTCACGTGATCACAGGTAGTCGACCACAGGTGGTCGAACTACAGATTACCATTTATGGTATAACAAGGGAACATTGCCTTCTAATATGGAGTAGGGTTTCTATCGAGTCACGTGATCAAGGTTAAGACCAATCAGCGTAAAATATCAAAGGATGTAAACATCAGTTTTACACAAAGACAAAAATAGAATGAAACTACAGCTTCCAATTACAAATTTACATATACTGTACACAAAACCGATGTGAGATACATCAAATGTCTAAAAAAGTGGTACTGATGCCGTCATCAAGTATCTTCCTTTTACAGTAAAAGTAGCTCAAGCCCTTTCTTTCCATTCGATAGCTCAACATGGTGTTGTTCTTGACTATGAAGCCTCTGTTTGTTGAGCTGACACTTTGCTTCGTTTGCAGAACTGAACGGAAATGCTCTATAGTGACCTGAGCTGCCTTGTTGATGCCTTTTGTCGAACACTTCTCTTTCTGTTTGGCATCAGGTTCGAAACAGAAATAGGTTTTAGCCGAAAGTCCAACAAAGCCACCTCCGCTCCACTCTACTTTGAATAACCCTGAAAGTAAACGACAATTATACTACCGACGCGACACCAACCGCAGAGAATATTGAGATACATTTTGTATACAATAATGAATAACCCTCGCGAAACTTTCAAGATAAAATCAAAGTGACATTAAACTTGTCAAAATAATAATAAAGTTAAACAACACAGCAGACCACTCACCTGGCGTCCTCCTATCGTAAGCCGCGTGTTCTTCGGTATCTGTACGAGGAAACCACTGCAACTTTATCTGAGCCCAATCTTGCCTGAGCTCAGGTTTTATGAGCTCATCCAGCGTGTCAGCTGCAAGTGCCATGTACAGCGAGTCTGAAAATTCGAAAACGATCAGTACGAAGAATTTATTGTATTTACAGCAAAATGGAACGTGCGTGCGCGCGCGCGCATTACACGACTTTAGCGCGAAGAATACTACAAAAAATAATTTTGCGTCAGCGCACAAAATGAACAGAAGACCGTATTTCAGGTTTTAGCCAATGTCACAGTTTTGATCGTTTTGTACGGAATGTATCGATTAGATTATAGATTATTTGAACTTACCCGTATCCATCTCACAAAGAGAGAAGTACGGTCGAGGGATGTAACTCACGAGCACATCAAAGTAAAAAGAGAGCATTCTTAACTTTGCATAGGAGTAAACGAAAAAACCAATCTGGATAGGAAGATTGTGACGTATACTCTTCTTTCTCGATGTTACCTATAGAAGACACTATTAGGACTACATTCATATGAAATCGATGAAATCAACCATGAGGATTCAAACTGCAGATCACAGTAAATGTAGGCAACAATAATTACGGTAAGACAAATTAAAATTACCTCGTAGCAGTTATCTGAAAGCTCATCCAAGGCGGAGAAGCGGGGGCCGTTAATGAGATCTGCGGCAGTCTCCTGATCCACTACGTCCACCTTGACGTGCTTGCTCTTGTTCATTATCGTATATCCATAGAAGCTGTTCCCTGAGATAAACGATATTTGAACACTTGGAATCTAAAAGCAGGTGCTCGAATGTAAACGTGATCATAAGTTTGATCAGGCAGTAAAGGAATATTGATATCGCGTCAAGAGACATAAGCTAATGAAAATGTAGCTATTTATCTACCTATTAGTTTACTGGTCTCAGCTACAACTCTCAAGGCCGGATCTTGATCACCAGCCCTCCTGTCTTCCGATACGTTGTCAGCAAAGGATTTGAAGCACCTGCTGGGTGCGAATTCTATGACTTGATGGATATCCGTCACCTCAAGCCCATGCTGAACGTACCAAATCAATAACGGCGTGATTATCAGAATCTTCTCGGCAAACATTGACCCGATTAAATATCGAGTCGGCTTGAAAGATTTCCCCGTTGAACGGAGGAATTCAGTCATATGTTCACCGATATCATCTGCCGTCACGGTGGTATTTTTAAAGATAGGAGGCATTTCTGCATAGTGAGCCTTGAGGTGATCAGGAACCCTCAAGTCACATTGAACCGCACCAAATAGGTGTCCGTTCAAGATTTCTTCGAGTATCCTGTCTTTAGTCATTCTATACAGGTGTTCAGTGGTATAGACGTAGCGGTTGTGAATATCATGCCCTTTCTTGTATTGAGTCCACGAGCATTCCCACATTTCCACCAGGGTATAACCCAGCTTCCTGATGTAATCACTAATCTCTTTCGTCTTTTTGAATTTTTCATTCAAAGTTCTGCCGCTGACTTTGACGTCGCGATTATCTTTCTTGCAGGAAGGGCAGCCATGGAAATAGCACCCTTGAAACTGGTAAACTGTGTTCGTCTCCCTAGAATCAAAACAAATTAAGATACGTTGTTTTTTCCGCGTTATCACCAAAACTATTTGAATATAACATTAATTCATATGTAGTTCACTAATGGAAATAGGAAACATAAAACATACCTGTGGTAACCATCGACAGCGAGTCTCCTGGCGCCGATTCTGTACTCCCCTGTGTTTCTGACATGTTGTATTGA